TAAGCCAGAGGCGGTGGCTCATGCCTATAATCCCAGCTCTTTGGTAGGCTGACGCGGGCAGATCACCTGAGGTCAGGAGTTGGAGACCAGCCTGGTCAACATGGCGAAACCCCATCTGTACTAAAAATACAAAAATTAGCTGGGCGTGGTAGCAGGTACCTGTTAATCCCAGTTACTCTGGAGGCTGAGGCAGGAGAATCACTTGAACCTGGGAGGCAGAGGTTGCAGTGAACTGAGATCGCCCCACTACACTCCAGCCTGGGCAACAGAGTAAGACTGTATCTCAAAATAAATAAGTAAATAGTAAATAAATAAATAAAAATAAAAAAGAATATACACATTTTAAATTTTCAATAATTAGCTTCCGTTTTCCCTCCCTTAAGATAAAAAGTTACATTAATTTACAATCTTCTTAACACTGTATGAGGATCCCATTTCTCTATACCAGGTATAATCAACCCTTAAACCTTTGCCAATTCGATGGATGAAAATGGTATCCCATCCTAATTTGAATTTCTTTAATTATGAGTGGATTCAGCATTATTTCATATATTTATTCACCTTTCGCATTTACTTTTCTGCTTATATCTTCTTTTTTCATTGTTGATTAGGTGGTTTTGCTTGTGTGTGTTTTTTTTTTTTGTTTTGTTTTTGTTTTTTTTGAGACAGAGTTTTGCTCTTGTTGCCCAGGCTGGAGTGCAATGGCGCGATCTCGGCTCACCGCAAACTCCGCCTCCTGGGTTCAGGCAATTCTCCTGCCTCAGCCTCCTGAGTAGCTGGGAATACAGGCACATGCCACCATGCCCAGCTAATATTTTGTATTTTTAGTAGAGACGGGGTTTCACCATGTTGCCCAGGATGGTCTCGATCTCTTGACCTCGCGATCCGCCAGCCTCGGCCTCCCAAAGTGCTGGGATTACAGGCGTGAGCCACCGCGCCTGGCCGGCTTTGCTTGTGTTTTTGCCATCATATCTTTGTTTGCATTTCCTCTCTCTAGGTTCCAACCAGATATAACCCCAGAGAACAGTATACATCTGGGCCATCACTTTCTTTCTCTAGAAAGCTTCTAGGGATAGAACTTTGAACCATGTAATGGTACATAGTTTATAAATAAAGGGAAAACTCCCAGACTTGTACATTATGCTGGTGTTAGCATCGTCATCTCTAATTCTTGCTCACATTTTTTATTAGTTAAAAAAAGTCATAGAAACCCATAGCAAATACTGGTTATGTGCTAGATACTATGTTTAGCATTTTATTATCTCTTTAAGTGTCACAGCAAATCTGTCGGGGAGTACTAGTTTGTCTCCATCTGTACAATTTTGTATATGGGATATCAGCCATGTTCAACCCTTTGAATTCGAGGACTTTTTTGCTTATCTGTGGTGGTAGGTATCACCTTTTTTAAGCTCATCAGCTATTGTTAGTGTTGGCGTATTTTATGTATGGCCCAAGACAGTTCTTTCAGTGTGGCCCAGGGAAGCCAAAAGGTTGGACACTCCTGCAAAAAACAGAAGGATAGTAAGATTAAGTGACTTGCCCAAAGTTACACAACTACTAAATAGCAAAGCCAGGATTTGAGCCCAGGCATAGTGGCTCCAGAGCCAACCCTCCTAACCAATAAGCTCTTTTACCTCCAGTATGAGTAGTGAGTTATGTTGCCTATTGTCTGTTTCAGGAGGTGTTTTTGCTCATCTGTCCCCATTCAGAAAACTGGCTACTGTTGCTGAAACAAGGGAAAGCTATTCCTGTACAGGTCTGGGAGGTTTTTGTTGTTGTTGTTGTTTATTTATAAACTAGATTCCATTACATGGTTCAAAGTCAAAGTTAATATAAAAAGGTATTTGGTGAAAAGTTTCATGCCTACTCTTACCTATTCTATTTCCCCTGCCCTCATTTCTGTGTATACTTCCTGTTTCTTTATATAATTACAAAGCAAAGTAAATAAATAAATATAGCAGGTCATCAGATAATGTCATTTTGTCCAATGTGGTTTTGTTTTAATGTTGATGAGAAGAAAAATCCATTCCTGCCTGGGGCCAGTGTCTGTGTGGAGTCTGCACATTCTCCCCATGTCTGTGTGGGTTTTCTCTGGGTACTTAAGTTCCTTCCCAAATCCCAAAGGTCTGCACATTAGGTGAACTGGCTTGTCTGAATTGTCCTCATTCTGAGTGAGTGAGTGAGTTTGTGTGTGTGTGTGTGTGTGTGTGTGTGTGTGTGCGCGCGCGCGCGTGCACGCGCCCTGCAATGGGATGGCATCCTGACTGGGGTTGGTTCCCGCCTTGGCCTTGAGCTGCTGGGATGGACTCTGGCCACCTGGGACTGAATGAGCAAGTAAATAATTTACTTCCTTGTTTGTATAAGTTTTTCTTAAATGTGTTTGTAGCTCACATTTATTTCAGTGGTTAATATTAGAAGTGTTCTGGTCTGTATTTAGAATCTGGTGTTTTCGTGACCAGGATAGGTCAAAGGAACTTAACTCTTGTTTATGTCAATTAGTGTATGGTAAAGTTGGTTTTGTTATATGTCATGGTGCTTAAAGTCATAGTTTCCAGGAACTTACCTATGTTAAGAACTTACTGTGTATACATACATATATTTACATATATATATAAGGTTTATTTATCTAATATTTATTGAGTGCCTCTTTATACAAGGCACTGTGCTGGCTTCCAAGGAGTATACAAAGAAGCATGAAACACAATCTCTGGCCTCAGGAAGCTCACAGTCTAGTTCTATAATGAGAGCGTAAGTGAACATAAAACGTGTTTATATGACATAGTACTTTCTTTGCTGATTTAGGCCTCAATACAAAGCACATTCAGCCTGCTAAAGGTAGTAAATACTAATGTATATCTTGGTCTTTGGGGCTAAGGTGAACTTTCTACTGAATTGTCTATCAGTCTCTAAAATATAAGAAATATATCTTATTTATCTTAATAGATTCTTTAGGACATACAGTTTGAACAAATAAATCTTTGTTTCTTTTAAATATAGACTGCAAGGAAACTGTTTTTTATATGTGTGTGTGTGTGTGTATATATATGTGTATATATATACACACATATATATATATATATATATATATATATTTTTTTTTTTTTTTGAGACAGAGTCTCGTTCTGTCACCAGGCGCCAGGCTGGAGTGCAGTGGCGCGATCTCGGCTCACTGTACCCTCTGCCTCCCAGGTTCAAGCAATTCTCCTGCCTCAGCCTCCTGAGTAGCTGGGACTACAGGTGCACACCACTACACCCAGCTAATTTTTGTATTTTTAGTAGAGACGGAGTTTCACCATGTTGGCCAGGATGGTCTCGATCTCTTGACCTTGTGATCTGCCTACCTTGGCTTCCCAAAGTGCTGGGATTATAGGCGTGAGCCACCGCACCCGGCTGTATATATTTTTTTAATAGAGATAGGATCTCCCTCTGTCACCCAGGCTGGAGTACAGTGGTGTGATCAACGCTCACTGTAACCTCAGACTTTTGAGATCGAGAGATCTTCCTGCCTCAGCCTCCCAAGCAGCTGGGACTACAGGTGTATACCACCACACCCAGCTAATTTTTATGTTTGTGTTTGTGTGTGTATATGTGTGTGTGTTTTAAAACATATTTTATAAATTAAAAAATGTAAATAGAGACAAGGTCTCACTGTGTTACCCAGGCTGGTCTTGAACTCATGGGCTCAAGCAATCTGCCCGCCTTCATCTCCCAAAGTACCGGGATTACTGGCATAAGCCACCGCACCCAGCCTGTTTTATATCTTCTTCATGAACCCAAAGGGAAGATTTTTCGAACCATTTTTATTTTAGAGTCCATCCCTGCCTTGAGGAGCCTTACCAAGTTGGATCGAAATGGAATTTTTGTGTGCCTAATATAGAACTGAAGGACGAGGACTTATCTTTAGAAAGTTTGTTTTGGTGGGGGTCATCTTTTTTCTTATTCAGGCCTCCTCTTCCAATTACTCCTGTCCCATAGGCAGTAAGTGGAAAAGAGTTTATCCCAACTACAGTATAATATTTTAGAGCTATGGGCAAGTTACCTTCAATTTATTTTTTATTTTTTAGATCTCAGTTTCTGTGTAATACAACTTAATTCTGTTAAAAGACATCTTTGTTCAGAACCCTTCCAGTAGTTCTAGACATTCCAGGAACCATATGGAAGAAGTATGGTGTAGTGGTTAAGAGTAGGCTCCAGAGCCAGCCTGCTCATGTTGAAATCCTGAATCTGCCACTTTCTTTCTATGACGAGTTACTGGACTTTTATTTATTTTCAGTGCCCCTAAGTAGATGTCTTAAATGTTAGAGGTTTGTGAGTTGATTAAGTTTATTCTCCCCACTGAGCCTCAGAGCCAAGGACAAGAATCAAGAGACGAAATCTAGTATCTTATATTTATCTAAGCACTTTTCATTAAAGGTAATTCATACTACACATGTAATATGCACATATTATGTACATAGAACACATGCACTAAGTATTGCCATGCATTTTGTATGTTTCAAAATAATATGTTTCTTTGAAGGAACATGAATCTCAAAGGAAAAAAGCCAAAGTTAAAGGTTACATAAGAGTTAACAGTAGTAAGGAAACATGGTTTTCTCTTACTTCCTGCCCATGGCTGCCAAACTGTTCTCTGAAGACTGCTTTGTGACAGAAGCCCTTTCCTTTGAAAGCCTGTCACATCACAAGAAAAAGATCTGTTTCTTTGGAGGTACATTTTTGGGCACAAGAAAGGCTTTTAAAAATTTTTTTGGCCATCCTTTTCATTGTAGGAGTCTGGTGCTTGCTGCCTAGTTTGGGAGTAGAGGAAAAGACTCTGGCTCTTTACCGGGACATAGATGGGAAGGGGGTATGGCCCAGCTGAGTGTGCTAGCTCTCTTTCCACTGCACTTCTGGAACCTTTCATGTAAGGACTTTAGGATAAGGGGGTTGCATAGCTTCAGGGTCTTATGGACATTTGGATATTTCCTTTGCTTCATAATCATTTTGAACTATTTCCTTAGGCTGTTTATTGAGAAACTACCAAAGCATCGAGATTACAAATCTGCTGTTATTCCTGAAAAGAAAGACACAGTAAAGGTGGGTCTTCATTTTCATTGTTGCCTATCTAAAAACTTCAAAGCAACACAGACTGACTTCACGATAAAAGTAGTAGTCTATGTGTCTAAATATCAGATTCTACAATAGGAGATAAGGCCATTTCACCAGAATAGTTCTGAAGTAGCAGGTATAGTACAGTAGTGGATATTTTAAATCATTTTGGGAAATATTGCAATCACCAACTTAAGTCTTCTTTTGGATTCTCTAATTTTCTGGCATTTTTCTAATTCTGTTTTCTGTTTTGTGTCCCAGAAATTAAAGGAGATTGCATTTCCTAAAGCAGAGGAGCTGAAGGCAGAGCTGTTAAAACGATATACCAAAGAATATACAGAATATAATGAAGAAAAGGTTAGTATATAACAGCCAAGAAGAAGAAAAGAAAATTATTTTGCTTTTTTAAGGGTGTGCCCTGGGATTATAGTATGACATTTCAGTATATCCTGTGCTTTTAATGTGCATTTTACTTTTTTTGGGCAAAGACCAGAAACTCAAGTAGAACACCAGTGGTCAGGCTCAGGATTATAACACAGATATAGCCTATTTGTCAAAGAGAGACTTGAGGGACAGAAGATATGTTGCATGCCTGCTGTATCTATTAAGAACAATGAACATTCTCTCCAAAACATAGGTTTTTAGATCAGAAAATTTAAGGGTTTGCTTCACATATGGTTATACCTGAAGTTATTTATAAATTGATTTATGAATTGATTTTTCAAGCTCCCCCCGCCCCCACCCCACCGAGACAGTCTCACTCTGTCTGTCACCTAGGCTGGAGTGTAGTGGCTTGATCTCTGCTCACTGCAACCTCCACCTCCTGGTTCAAGTGATTCTACTCCCTCAGCCTCCCGAGTGACTGGGACTACAGGCATCTGCCACCACACCTGGCTCATTTTTGTATTTTTAGTAGACATAGAGTTTCACCACATTGGCCAGACTGGTCTCAAACTCCTGACCTCAGGTGATCTGCCTGCCTCAGCCTACCAAAGTGCTGGGATTACAGGCATGAGCCACTGTGTCTGGTCATTTCAAGCTATTTTCAAATGATGCTTTTTAAGAAGAGTCAGTTAAAACATGTGGAGAAACTTCCAGGGCGCTGTCAGTGGCCAGCTGTGAATACATACTGCAGGCACTTACAGGCTATTGTGTAGCTGTCCGCTGGTCTCTATTATGGACTCTGATGTTGAAAATCAGCAGAGGGATGAACAGCTGTGAGGTATACATCTCTAAAGCACCAAGCGAGTATAAGCTTCAAGGAGGAGGTTATTACTTAGCATTTCTTTTTATTTTTCTTTATCCAAATGTGACTCAGGTATTTCTTATTAGCTTCAAATGTCACTCTGTGTTGAACAAATACATAAAAACCATAAAAATTTCAGAGGCTTCATTTTGGGTTAAAATTCAGTAGAAGACCAGACATGACAGCTCATGCCTGTAATCCTAGCACTTTGGGAGGCTGAGGTGGGTGATCGCTTGAGCCCAGGAGTTCAATACCAGCCTGGGAAACATGGTGAACCCCCGTCTCTACAAAAGATACAAAAATTAGTGTGGTGGCGTGCATCTCTGGTCCAACCTACTTCAGAGGCTGAGATGGGAGGATCACCTGAGCCCAGGGAGATTGAGGCTTTAGTGAGCCATGATTGGCCACTACAACCTAGCCTAGGTGAAAGAGAGAGACACTCTCTCAAAAAAGAAAAAAATTTAGTAGAGATGACCCCCAAGATAGCAGATATAAGTTTGGATCTGGTTCTATTTTATAGCCTTACTTGAAATATAGAATATATACATGACATAGAATAAAACTGCCTATGATACAGGTTAGAAGAGTACAGACAGTAAGTTGAATCAAGATTTCAGGCCAGATGTTGTGGCTCATGCCTGGAATCCCAGCATTTCGGGAGGCCGGTTGGGCAGGTTGTCTGAGCCCAGGAGTTCAAGACTACCCTGGGCAGCATGGCAAAACCCTGTCTCTGCAAATAATACAAAAATTGACCAGGCACTGTGGCTCACGCCTGTAATCCCAGCACTTTGGGAGGCTGAGGCAGGCATTCAAGACCAGCCTGGCCAACATGGCGAAACACTGTCTCCACTAAAAAATACAAAAAATTAGCCAGGCATGGTGGCAGGCTCCTGTAATCCCAGTTACTCGGGAGGCTGAGGCAGGCAAATCACTTGAACCAGGGAGGCGGAGATTGCAGGGAGCGGAGACCACGCCATTGCGCTACAGCCTGGGCAACAGAGCAAGACTCCATTTAAAAAAAAATACAAAAATTAGCCAGGTGTGGTGGTACACACCTGTGGTCCCACCTACTCAGGAGGCTGAAGTGGGAGGATAGCTTGAGCCTCGAAGGTTGAGGCTGCAGTGAGCCATGATCATGCCATTGCACTGCAGCCTGGGAAACAGAGTGAGTGCAACCCTCAAAAAAAAAAAAAAAAAGAGAGAGATTTCAGTGAAGAGGAAAGTGCATTAGGTAGAGTCATTGCCAGGGAGTATTGAGAGGATTGGGATTTTAACTGTCCTTGGAGATAGGTATACAGTGGCCAGATAGAAAGGGGTAGTGACTACACTCCATGGGTATAAAAATACTGAGGAAAGCATGAATTCTTTGTTAAGTAATCAGGCCAGAGCAGAAGTACATTTTGGAAATCTCCGTGCTCAAAAGCCTTGTTCTCCTGAAGTGTGAAGTCACTGAGGTGTGAAGTGTTAGCCTAAATTTTCTCTCTTTGTAGAAGAAGGAAGCAGAGAAATTGGCCCGGAACATGGCCATCCAGCAAGAGCTGGAAAAGGAAAAGCAGAGGGTAGCACAACAGAAGCAGCAGCAATTGGAACAGGAACAATTCCATGCCTTCGAGGAGATGATCCGGAACCAGGAGCTAGAAAAAGAGCGACTGAAAATTGTACAGGAGTTTGGGAAGGTGGACCCTGGCCTAGGTGGCCCTCTAGTGCCTGGCTTGGAGAAGCCCTCCTTAGATGTGTTCCCCACCTCACCTGTCTCATCCACACAGCCTTCAGACTGTCACACAACTGTAAGGCCAGCGAAGCCACCTGTGGTGGACAGGTCCTTGAAACCTGGAGCACTGAGCAACTCAGAAAGTAGTAAGTGCATTTGCTGATATCCTCTTTATTCTCAGTTGCAGCCAAACAGATTATCATTCTGAGGGAGTCGTCCTAAGAATACCTCCCTGATCCCACTCATTAAGCTTTGGTCACAGAAACCCATCTGATAAGTATTGCCGTACCGCGTTCTAATATACTGGCCATGTTATAAAAGTAGCCTTTGCTTAAACCTGGTCTGGTTGGTTTTCTGAAGAGCTAGTACTATTCTTGAAAGTCAGACTGTCAAGTTTTTAGCTGAAAGGAAAGGACTGTGCCAAACCTAATTCATAATCTTTAGCTACCGTCATCAGACTGCTGTGTGACTGTCTACTGCTCTGACTTTGTTACCTCTCTAGCAATTCAGATCTTGCTGTTGAATATGCAAAAGCAGAACATCTCTTTTTCTTTCTCTTTTTTTAATATGAAAATATAGTTGTGAAAGACACTTCCTAACTTTAGCTTGTTGGCTGTCTCAGAGTTTCTCCATGGTGTTCAGAAACTGGGTCCATTCTTGGCATTTTTTATGAGCTGCTTTGCTCATTCCTTTTTTTGGAGGACTACGCTGTATTTTTTATTTTGTTGTGGTTTGGCATTTTAACTTTCTTCCAAAAAACTAAGTTCAGAAGTAAATAACTACCCAGGTTGTTTTCCATTCTCAAGAATACATACTAGTATATTTCTTTTAAAGTCATACTGTCTGATATTCTTATCTGAGATAAAAGATTTAAAATTAAAAGTTCAGATGAATGGGCAGTGTCTTAGTCCGTACTGTGCTGCTATAACAGAATACCTGAGGCTGGGTAATTTAAAATGAACACAAATTTATTTGGCTCATAGTTCTAGAGAATAGGAAGTCCAAGATCCAGGGACCGTATCTGGCAAGGGCCTTCTTGCTGTATCATCCTATGACAGAAATGTGGGAGGGTAAAAAAAGATCCCTCATAGCCTTATCACCTCCTAAAGATTCCACCTTGCAATAATTTTGCATTAGGAATTAAGTTTCCAAAACATGAACTTTGGGAGGCACAGTTAAACCACGGCAGGCAGCTTATGTTTTCAATCCTTTGTATTAGATTCTGACAGAAAATTCCCAAATGTTTCAAGAGCTTTTCTCTTTTCCCCCCGCCTAAATTTTATTTTTTGTGGGTACACAGTAGATGTGTGTATTTATGGGGTACATGAGATTTTTTTAAAATTGAGACAGAGTTTCACTCCTGTTGCTCAGGCTGAAGTGCAGTGGTGCGATCTCGGCTCACCACAATCTTCGCCACATGAGATGTTTTGATACAGGCATGCAATATGAAATATGTACATTATGGAGAACAGGGTATTAGTAACAATCCAATTACATTCTTAAGTTTATTTTTAAGAAAGCTTTTCTTTTTTTTGAGGCGGAATCCCACTCTGTCTCCTGGGCTGGAGTGCAGTGGCGTGATCTCGGCTCACTGCAACCCCCCACCTCCCAGGTTCAAGCAATTCTCCTGCCTCAACCTCCCGAATAGCTAGGATTATAGGCACCCTCTACTATGCCCAGCTAATTTTTTGTATTTTTAGTAGAGATGGGGTTTCACCATATCGACCAGGCTGGTCTCAAACTCCTGACCTCATGATTCACCCACCTTAGCCACCCAAAGGGCTAGGGTTACAGGCTTGAGCCAACACGCCTAGCAAGAAAACTTTGCTTACGGTAGTAGTTTGCCCTTTTCTTAACTTGAATGATTAAAGGCTACTATTTTCTCTTCTTGAAGTAATGTGCTCCTTAACAGCTGTGGCCCAAGATTGGAGAAGGGACTTTACAACCCTTTTCTTTGATGCCATTAAGATGAGATCCCCACTCACTACCTGAAGTTGGGAGGATCCCAGTGGCTTAATGTTGCTCTTGCAGGGCTACTGGCTGTGAGGTCTGCTTGGGGAGGCGGAGCTCAGTGGTCTCAGACTTTTCTCCTTTCTCCATTACAGTTCCTACAATCGATGGATTGCGCCATGTGGTGGTGCCCGGGCGGCTGTGCCCCCAGTTTCTACAGTTAGCCTAGTGCCAACACTGCCCGGGGAGTGGAGACATGTGGAATTCTCTGTGGAAAACTGGTAAAAACAAACAAACAAAAACTCTTCTCTGAGCTGAAACTGTTTCTTCCCCTCTTGGCATCCTGTGACTCTCAAGAGAAAATATCCAGGGTCAGTTACTCTTTGTACTGATCCCTCCACTGAAGGAACTGTGGATTGCATAATTTTGTGTCACTTTGAATTTGGTGACCCTGTATTAATTGATTGAATTGATTATTTTCATGCTAGTAGTAAGAAATACCTAATTTTAAACTTGGTAGGAAGATCCAGTCATTATCTACATAACAATTTTTTTAGTACCTGCTTTATGGTAGGATCTGAAAATATAAAATATGTAAAGCACAGAGTATGTGTCCACAAAAAGTGCCCAGTCACTTTGGAGAGAAGGCTGACATGCACTAAAATCTAACCAGCATGCTGAAAAATACGTACAGGCCGGGCGCGGTGGCTCAAACCTGTAATCCCAGCACTTTGGGAGGCCGAGGCAGGTGGATCACAAGGTCGAGAGATCGAGACCATCCTGGTCAACATGGTGAAACCCCGTCTCTACTAAAAATACAAAAAAATTAGCTGGGCATGGTGGCACGTGCCTGTAATCCCAGCTACTCAGGAGGCTGAGGCAGGAGAATTGCCTGAACCCGGGAGGCGGAGGTTGCAGTGAGCCGAGATCGCGCCATTGCACTCCAGCCTGGGTAACAAGAGCGAAACTCCGTCTCAAAAAAAAATAAAAAAAATAAAAATAAAAATACGTACAGTGTAAGTATTGGGAATTTTGAGGAAGGAAAGGTCACTGAATGCAGGCACTTAAAGAACCTTTTACTGCTGAATGAATAAATAAATGAAGTGGAATAGATGTAAGCTGAGGCTTACAGGATAAGAAAGACTTAAGGAAACAGTGAAAGGAAAACTACTTTAGACCTGAGCAGAGGAAAAGAAATGATACTCTACCCAGAGCTTCTAAGCAGATCAGTTTGGCACAGCAGGAAATTCCCTCAGGGCTATGGTGTTTGCCTGGGCTGCAGAGTTCTGGGGTTGGTCTCTGCATCTGTCACTGTTCAGAGCACCCCAGGCAATGTGCATGAGCAGCCAAGGTTGTGAACCACTGAGTGGCAGGACTCCTGCTGTGTGGGAAGGGCTTCACACGTATAGATGCTTACCTTTCCACTGTTGGGATGGAGTGGAGCAGGATTGCATGAGCACCAGGGAATTGTGACTGGCTGTTTTCTCCTTTGGCAGATGAGGAATGAATTTACCATTACCCATGTTCTCATTCCCAAGCAAAGTGCTGGGTCTGATTACTGCAACACAGAGAACGAAGAAGAACTTTTCCTCATACAGGATCAGCAGGGCCTCATCACACTGGGCTGGATTCATGTAAGCAATTCTGAGCTCTCTGAGGGTTAGTCTCCGCCTCTCCCATGGTGGTATAAACACACTTTGTGTTTCTTTCTTTGAACCAAGTCAATTATATTCAGATTATTTATTGTTCTTCTCTCTTTTGGATGCAGTCCTTAGTGGCATACTTGACTATTGCACTCCAGTATTGTTTTCTGGGAACACTTAGGACTTTTAAATCTTTTTAACTTTTTATTTATTTTTTAGCAAAAATAGACTATTTTCCCTAAAGTTCCAGTTTTCCTCTGAGTGTGACTGGTGATGGGTTGCTGGACTAGAATATATGTGGACATTGACCTTAGAGATTATGCCTACTATATACAGATGATGTTCCTTCAAGGTATATAACTGAAAATATTTAACATGAGCCAAAGAGGTTATTTCAGATGCTTGCATTTGGTTTTTCTTAAAGCACCTTTATAGAAACAAGAAGGGCTATAAATATACATGATTTTCAAGTGTCTGCATATCTTGTGCAGCCTTCTGGTAATGTTCAGGTAAAATATAATGCCTTCCTTAAAGATTGTTTTAAATTTTTCTTTCTATTCCTTTTCAGTCCCTTACTCTCATAGCCCAAACTGCATTTTTTGATTGTATGACAGAGTTACAAATGAATTGGCTTATTTTTGGATTACATATACTTGTATGCCAGAATTTGGGAAAGACTGACCTGTGAGGCAGTCCCATGTGCCTTCCGTCCTTTCTTCTGTTCAGTTACGTTCATATTCATGATTTGCCTATTATTGTGTATCCTCCCTGACCCCATTGTAGTAGATGAAGGAGAGAAAATTTGTTCCTTATCTGCTAGGGAACACAAATTTGAGTAAGATATGATTTTAGCCTTATAAAGGAGATTAAACAAATAGATCATTAATAACTTCACCTGGGGCAGAATGTGCTAAGGGCCTCAAGAGGTACCAGCAGGGCACTGTGGAATTCAGAGGAAGGAGGGACCATGCTCGAGAGGGTTTAGTAGCATGTTGACAAGCTGGGCCAAGGGAAGTTCCTTATGGAGCAGACAGGTGGAAAAGAGGCAGATTCTGTTCCTGGAGCGTTGGGTGGACCAGTTCGCTGGGATTTATGGTTCATATCAGGAAATTTTAATGTAGTATGTTGGAGCCATGTTCTGGAGGGTCTGGAGTATACAGGCAGAATTGTTCCACTTTTTAGTAAATGGAGAATTCTTAAAGGTTTTTGAGCAGAACAAAGATATGATTAAAGCCATACTTTAGAAAATTTAACATAAATACATTTTTAAGGTAGGTTGTGGCAAGGAGGTGATTTAGAGGTTAATGTGCTGATAAAATCTAATAATGATGAGAGCTAGGGTGATGCCAGTGTGTTTGGGAAGGAGGAGATGAATGTAGGATTTCAGAAGATTTGGGAAATGAGTAATAGAGGATGATGACGCAGAATCAATGATGACTCAGAGATTTGGGGCCTTGCAGTGATCATCTCATAAGCAAAAGTAGAGAATCCAGAAGGACTTGGTTTGAAAATGAGGTTCAGTTCTGAGCATGTTGAATTTCAGGTACTGGTGAGATACCAGATCATTGGAGGTAGTTATCAGGCAGTTAGCAATGTAGGGCTAGAACTTGGGAGCGAAGTCAAAGCAGGAGAGAGGGCTCTGGGAATCCACTATATGATGCTGACCTTGGAAGCCTTGGAAGTAGGGGAAGAGTCTAGAGCAGGCGTCCCCAAAGTTTTTACACAGGGGGCCAGTTCACTGTCCCTCAGACCGTTGGAGGGCCGCCACATACTGTGCTCCTCTCACTGACCACCAATGAAAGAGGTGCCCCTTCCTGAAGTGCGGCGGGGGGCCGGATAAATGGCCTCAGGGGGCCGCATGCGGCCCATGGGCCGTAGTTTGGGGACACCTGGTCTAGAGCAAGAAAAGGTTCACTGGCAAATTGTGGGAGAGACTACCTAAGGGAACATAGAATGTAGTTAGCAAAGAAGCAAAGAGATATATGAAAAAGGTGAGGGTAGTGTTAAGGCATGGAAGCCACAGGAGGAGGAAGGCTTTAAGAAGGAATTTCTGGATGTTAACCATGTCACGTGCTGTGGAGAGCTCCAGAATGGTGAAGACTTGGATCGGTCTGAATTTGATGATATTATTGACGACCTCGATTTAGTGTGTTTCAGGCATTAATGGGAGTAAACTATAAGAGTTTAAGAAGTCATAGGGATTAAGGTTGTGGAGATAATGAAGTGTACACTACCATTTTGAGCAACTTACTGTAGAGGAAAGGAGAGAGATAGGATGGTGGTTTAAACAAAAGCTGGGTTGAGAGAATGATTGATTGTTCAGAGTGAAAGGCTTGAACATGTGTTTTGTTTTGATTTTGTTTTTCAAAAGCTTTGAATTTCAAAATATAGCATATATATAAGAAAGCTCACGGAAACTAGATGTACACTTTAACAAATCATTAAGCAAATATCTATGTACACACACTACCTGGGTCCTCCCTCCGTTGCTTCATTTATAGTTTCGCCACCTCAATGTGTACCTCTGAACACTACAGTCTACTTTCGCCTGGTTTTTATCTTTTTGTAAATGGAATTATATCATATGTATACTTGTGTCTTGCTTCTTTTGCTCAACATTTTGAAGGTTGATCCACATTCTTGTGTATAGTTTTCTGAATATATTCCTATGCCCAATGAGCCAACAATGGAGATGTAAAAGGGCAAGAGAGACAAGGTGATGTGGTGATAAGGAAAGATTAAATCAGAAGTACAAAGAGGTATTCATCTTCACAGGGGGAAAAACATCCATTCCTCCAAGACAAGATTGAATGAATGGAAATGAAGATACAGAGAGATTTTTGAAACGATGTCTGGAAGAGTTGAGGAAACACATTTAGGCAGTCTTGACTTCAGTAAGGTTGGAGTCTAGGTCTGCTGTTGAGCAAAAGGGACCAAGGAGGATTTAGAAACTGGAAGAGATGGGGGAAAGTTTAGAATCATTACTATTTAGACTTCAGGTAGAACTTAGCTACAAATGAATAAAAGAGTTTCTAAGCATCTATCAGTGAGGGCCCAGCTGCGAACAGATTTAGAGCCTAAATTAATAATAGTTCAGCTGTTTTTTTTTCTTTTTTTAAGATGAGGTCTCACTATGTTGTTTATGTTGGAGTACAGTGGCTGTCACAGTCCTAATCATACTGCACTACAGCCTCGAGCTCCTGGGCCCAAGTGATCCTCCTGCCCCAGCCTCCTAAGTAGCTAGGACTACAACCACGCACCACTGTGCCCAGCTAGTTCAGCTTTCCCCCCCATATTTCTGCAGCATTCCTTTCTAATTCAGGATTAAAAACAAACAGGCTGAGTGTGGTGGTTTATACCTGTAATCCCAGCACTTTGGGAGGCCAAGGTGGGAGGATCACTTGAGCCCAGGAGTTCAAGACTAGCCTGGGCAACATAGCAACACCTCATCTCTATAAATTAAAAAAATTATGCAGGTGTGGTGGCACACACCTGTGGTCCCAGCTACTTGGGAGGCTGAGGCAGGAAGATCGCTTGAGACTGGAAAGTCAAGCCGCAGTGAGCCGTGATCACACCACTGCACTCCAGCCTGGGCAACAGAGCAAAAACACTGTCTCAAAAACAAACAAAAAGTAGACCATAAGGTTTATACAGATCTTAAAATTGGCCAGAGGAAAATGCAAAAGATCAGTTCATCCTTCTTAACCTTGTAAACTATAAATCAGATTCCCAGTTTAAAAACTTCGTATGGTCATGGATTGATCACCATTGTCAAACCTCCAACCCAGAACTCAAGGCACTTCTCATCATGTCTCAGCCCCATCTAAGCCATTTCCCTCTAGGGAAAATTTCCTGTCCAGGCACCCAGGCTGCCTTCAGCATTCGCCCTCCTTGCTCATTTCTGTTCCTTCAGCATGTTGTTTTCTCTTTGTGAAAGTGCCTTCCTCTACCCCCAGCAACATAGGCACAGTGAACATAATGAACTCTTCATTCAAGAAACTTGACTGTGAAAGGAAGGAGGGAGAGAAGGCACAGTAGTTAGAGAGGAGAAGGGGATCAAGGCAAAGTTTTTCAATTCCATTTAATACTTGTTTGCTAAGTCCCTGTCTCTTTATTACCCTTCTGGCTACCCACCTTTAGCATGAGGGCCTAGATTGGCTTGTGTAGGCCTAGTTTGCTCCCAGTTAGAATCCTGGGCTCTAACCATGGAATGGAAGGTGGTGTTGGCACAGGCCACGGCTCCTTAGCAGCCTAAAGGATTATATTCTAATCAGGTAGAAACTTTGTGGTCACTGAAGTCCTTACATGCCCCATGAAGACTTGTGTGTGGATTTGCTGTGTGCACTCAGCTAACATACTCCTGCCCTGAAGCCTTCTTCCACAGTGAGCTCATCACAGCACCCTGTGGAATGGTACTTCTCAGATGATGCTACACATTAGAATCACTTAGTGAGTTTTCAGCTGGGCGAGGTGGCTCACACCTGTAATCCCAGCACTTTGGGAGGCCGAGGCAGGTGGATCACTTGAGGTCAGGAGTTTAAGACCAGCCTGACCAATATGGAGGAATCCCATCTCTACAAAAAAAATACAAAATTAGCTGGGCGTGGTGTGGTGGCACATGCCTGTAATCTCAGCTACTCAGGAGGGTGAGGCAGGAGAATCACTTGAACCCGTGAGGCGGAGGTTGTGATAAGCTGAGATCATGCCAATTGCTCTGTAGCCTGGGCAACAAGAGCAAAACTCTGTCTCAAAAAAAATATCACTTAGTGAGCTTTCACAAAAAATGTTTTCTCATGATGGTTATTTCGTAGGGTGCAGGAGTCTGGGCTTTTGTCAAGCTCCTCAGGAGATTTGTTTTTTGGACAGCAGGTTTGAAAACGCTAGTCAATTGTATATCTATCATCCATGCTCTTCTGTCAGTGAAGGTTGGTTGTCTTTTTGAGTCATGCTAGATCTTTCTCTATTTTTATTACCTAAGATCACACCCCCATAAGATGAACGTAAGTCATTATATAGTTGTCTGTTTTGTATACAAAACATGTGTTTAATAAAACAAACAATGGAAACAAATTAAATAATCAGGATGCACATTTAGGTGATGCTTTAACTAATTAACCTCAAATTTTAGCATCATGTTCTATTTCCAAACAGAATGGTCTCCTCTGTATGGTTCAACTGTCCACTGAAATTCAAATAGTCCCCTACCTCCCATACCTTCCTTGGATGATGCTTTAGCTACAGGACAGCCTTTGTCTATAGGACTCGATTAATGCTTGACCTTTTAACACCTCTGTGGGAAAGAAGAATTAGTCGTCTAATTGTGGTTTACTAGTCCTTGACTTCTACCATGTTGAAATATTAGGCACGTACTATCTGTTCCAGAATGGGTGACTTGATGGTATGGAGAGACCTTGTAAGGAACCAAATAAGTCTTGACAGTCAATTAGAAATTATGAGTCTTTTGAAAAACCAAAGACTGAATTATCCAGAGAGAAACACTTCTTAGAGGAGACAGAAGAAATTGCCCAGGAAAAGTTCCAAGGGCCACTCTCATGCCTTTCACAATTGTGGAGGACACCCACTTACCTTGTCCATGGATGTCCATCATGACAACCCCACTAACACCTTTGATTCCGTGGATCCCTGGGTGAATCCAACATCATAGTCCTGGAATTCTTCCAGTTTGGTTCAAGAACAGGAGAGCCAGAGCAGGAAATATTAGCAAACAGCCTCCTCTTCTGTCTCCAATCCTGCGATGGAGATGTCTTTACCTGTCTCCACTCCCACTATCTGGTGATCTTTGTGCAGCAGGTATGTGCCTAAAGCAGGTCTCCAAGCCAGTTTCTATGTGCTGTCATCTGAGATGGGGTTCCCCTTGCCAGTTCTCACACCCCACAAGACCCACCACCCTGATGTCCTGGCCGGCACACACCAACCTCAAGGAGGCCTTTCTTGACACTTGGAACTTAGATCTTGATGTCCTTTTGAGAGGTCAGAATTTGTTTAACTGGAATGTGACACAGTACTGAATTCTTCTGCCTTGTCTCTTCCAGCCTCGGAACTCTATTTTTCTCTCACTTTGCAGTGGTCTTTGAGCTTCAACACTGTGAAACAGTATCTTTTCCCAATGATGCCCCAGATGGAAAGTTTGAGCTCTGTCCCTGGGCCCTCTCCATACCCCTCTAGTTTAATGCCTTGATGCCTTCTTGCATCAAGGCTCTATAGCCCACAATCTTTCACCCAACCAGGAATTCTAGAACCCATCAGGCCCCCTAGATCTTCTGAACCAGTGAGATCAAAGTCCCCATTTTGAATGGTACAGAGAGGAAAGTTCCCCCCTTGCGTTTACTTCCCTATTTTTGTCTGCCTACTCCAGTTTCCCCTTCCCCCTGAGTGCTCAAGCCGCCTAACATCTACTGCCTTCAAACTAGGAAAGCCAGAAAGTCCCAAGCCTCTTCATCCTCCGTTTACTTTTGTCCACCCTCTGGGACTTCTCTCCCTGAGAAGGTTGTCTGAGTGAATTAGGTGAAACATGGTGGGTGGGTTATTTGGTACGTCATCTATAACCATGAGCTAGGATGGCATGTACTTGCCTGGGCTTAACACTGTTGCTTTCCATTACTGATTTTCCATTAGATAAAAATCACTTTATCATTCATTGGATAATCTACAGAATTTCAGAATTATGGTTCTGCACAATGTAAGTGAGGGTGTACATCCACCTACCCAGAAACTGAAGTGGGGCCTCCCCCACCCCACTTGTGGCATCTCCCCACGATTGCTCTTCAGACAAATCCCCATCTGTTTAGCTGTCATTCTGCTGAGGCCAATGCAATCTAAGTTATTTCGTTTCCTTAGTCATTTTCATCTCCTTCCCCTCTCTCATTGGATACTTCACCACAGACAGCTCTTCCAGTTTCCAGTAATTGTTTATGCTCCTTATTTCTATGAGCTCTTTTATTCATTATATTCCTTTTATTCATTATATTCCTTGTTCCATAGGACTTTATAATGGGAATATATATATATGAATATATATATACACACACATAAATATATATGTATATATATTTCTTTTTTTGACTTAATTCTTGTCGCATCACTTTTATATATATATATATATATATATATATATATTTTTTTTTTTTTTTTTTTTTTTTTTTAAGATGAAGTCTTGCTTTTTTAAGATGAAGTCTTGCCTGACCAATATGGAGGAATCCAGTCCACCCAGGCTGGAGTGCAGTGGTATGATCTCAGCTCACCGCAAGTTCCGCGTCCCAGGTTTAAGCAATTCTCCTGTCGAGCCTTCTGAGTAGCTGGATTTACAGGCATGTGCCACCACACCAGCCAATTTTTGTATTTTTGGTAGAGATATAATTTCAACATGTTGGCCAGGCTGGTCTTGAACTCTTGACCTCAAATGATCTGCTCTCCTCGGCCTCCCAAAGTGCTGGGACTACAGGGAGTGAGCCACCATGCCCAGCCTGTGTTTTTTTTTTTTTTTTCCTTTTTTTAATTGACAAATAACAATAGTCTATGTGTGGTGTACAACATATGTTTTGAAATATGTATACACATATTGTGGAATGGCAAAATCAAGCTAGTTAGCATATACATTACATCACATACTTTTTTGTTGGTGAGAACACTTAAAATCTACTCTCTTAAGCAGTTTTCTAGTATATAATACATTGTGATGAACAGTAGTCAGCATGTTGTATAGTAAGTCTCCTGAACTTAAAAAAAATAATTAAGAGTCTCTTCGCATACTAGTGTTAAGCTGTATTTGTTTACAATGCTGGAAAGGAGCTTCCCTACTTATTAGGAACTTCAGGTGGACCTCTCATGATTGCAAGTGGCTTCTTACTTACAAAGGAGATTGTGCCCAGCTGTTGAGAACTGTTTGGCTTTACTTCCCTCAGAGACCAGGCTTGGCTGTTCCGAAGAGTAGTCCCCCTTTATCCTCAGGGGGTATGAGCCTAGACCCCCAGTAGATGCCTGAAGTTATGGATAATACCAAACCCTGTATATACTATGTCTTTTTCCTATACATGCCTACCTATGATAAAGTTTAATTTATAAATTAGGCACCGGAAGAGATTAACAACAACAATAATAAAACAGAACATTATAAAAATACACTGTAATAAAAGTTATGTGAATATGGTCTCTCTTTCTCAAGATATCTTATCATATGTAATATTTTCAGATTGCAGTTGATATGGGCAGCTTGAAACCGCAGAAAGGGAATTGCAAATAAGGAGGGACTACCATATATCCTTGCTGAAAGTCCTCTGACCCTTTTTCTCTCCTCAGACTCACCCCACGCAGACCGCGTTTCTCTCCAGTGTCGACCTACACACTCACTGCTCTTACCAGATGATGTTGCCAGAGTCGATAGCCATTGTTTGCTCCCCCAAGTTCCAGGAGTGAGTATACGGGTCATGGTTCTGGGTGTTAGAAGTGAAGAACCCCCTCAGAGGAAAAGGTCTCTATTCTTGCGGACTTGTTCTTTGTAAAATACATAGATTGTGGTATAAATTGGTTATTCTAAAGGGCTTCCTTTTAAGCCCCATATCATAATTAATCTATCATGCTTGTTCAAAAAGATATCCAAGTAACAACTGAGTTGCTTTTCAAAGAAAAGTCTTCAAGAAATTTGAAGTGTTTGACTTGAAACAATAGGAATGTCAAGAGTTTTATGTTGGATTCGAAAGTTTCAAAATCAAACACATTATCTCAGAGTGTCACTTCTTTTTCATTCCAAATCCTGTCTCCACTCCCACTTTGATTATTTACTATGAATTATCCAGCAAAACTAGAGTGAGAACAGTAATGAATCATTCTCTAACTGTGATTCATTCACCAGAGAAGAGACCTATGAGCCAGCATCCTACAGAAACTGTCTCATAGTGACCTCTGCCCTGCTGTATGAGTGTGCGTGCTAGTATGTGTGTGCGTGCCTGTGTTTGGGATGGAGGGAAAACCTTTGCTTTACTCTTAGCCTGCCTTTTTAAAATTTCAGAACTGGATTCTTTAAACTAACTGACCATGGACTAGAGGAGATTTCTTCCTGCCGCCAGAAAGGATTTCATCCACACAGCAAGGATCCACCTCTGTTTTGTGTATGTATTTACAGAGAAGAAACAGGCTATGCTTCAAGCAGGGAGGACAGTCAGAAAATGCATCATCCTTTCTGATCCACACAGACCAGCCTTGTCTCTTTATCTTTCCAGACTTCCCTAGTGAAGATGGACATGAGAAGCAATGTGGGATAAGAATAGATTTGCATCTTAGCTCTGCCACTGAATGCCTTTGATTAGGCTTCTTACCCTTCCTGGACCTCAGTTTTCCCATCTATAAAACAGGCATAATAATAACACCTACTGACTGGGCACAGAGGCTCACACATGTAATCCCAACACTTTGGGAGGCTGAGGCGGGTGGATCACAAGGTCAGGAGATTGAGACCATCCTGGCTAACACGGTGAAACCCCATCTCTACTACAAATGCAAAAAAATAGCCAGGCATGGTGGCACGTGCCTGTAGTCCCAGCTACTTGGGAGGCTCAGGCAGGAGAATTGCTTGAACCCAGGAGGCGGAGGTTGCAGTGGTCGGAGGTCACGCCACTGCATTCCAGCCTGGGCTACAGAGTGAAACTCTGTCTCAATAAAAATGAAAAATAAACAAAAATAAAAATAACACCTACTTTATAGGGTTCTTGAGATGATTAAATGAATCAGTGTGCAGGAAGTACCAAATGCAGTCGCTGGCTTATCAATAGTTACTTTTTTCTTTCATCAGTGTCAGTTTCTAAGCCTGTACTTCAGTAAGAGATTTGAATATAAGGAAGAGAAGCCACTTAAGATAGGTAAATTAAGTATATTTATTGTAGAATTTTGCTTAAATCATAGGGACTTTATGACCTTCCTACAACGTTTTTTCCCTAAGTTGTGGTCTGTAATTAAAACGTTTAGTTGATAATAAGATCAGTTTGCCCCTCCAATCTGATGTGATGGTGTTGTATTACTCCATGCTGGCCATGGAGTACTATTTCTTTTGGGTTCAGAGAAAAGCAGGCAATATGGAAAAGGGAACCTTGACACATAAAAGGAACTGGAGATGTTTAAAAGAGAAACCCCACAAGGGATCTGAGAGCTGACTTCAAGTGCTAGAAGAGTTGATGTATAAAAAAAGGGATTGGGTATATTTCATATCACTCCTAGCACTAAAACTAAGACTTCATGGGATGATGGTTTTCTGCTGAGTGTGAGGAAGAACTTTCTGACAAATCTGTTCAAAAATAGATCAGTCTGCCTTGGAATGTCTTAAGTGCTAGTATTTTGAAACAAAGACTACACAATCAGAAAACAAAAGTCTGGGACATTAGTACCCAGGTTTTCAGTTATAAAGACCCCTTTTGCATGCCGAAAGGGAACATTCTTCTCTGACCATGTGATAGTAGGTAATCTTTATTATTTGGGTGACATCATGGCCCAAAAAACTGTGATGAATTCAGTAATTCTTTTAAATTAATGTATATTTTAGGGATGACACTATTTGTTCCCAAGTTTAGGCACCAAACAAAGAATGAGTCTAGAATATACATACATTTTAAAAATAAACAAAGGTATATGGGCAAACACTGATTCCATCTACAGGTGGGACTGGTGGTAGTGATGAGCCCCTGACTCTTACCATAACTGCCCTTAAATAGCAGTCTGGCTTCCAGACTGAGAACCACTAGCCTAGGATGAACATTTTAAATAAGGGGTTTTTAAAAATGATTTTTCAGACCAGGTGTGGTGGCTCACACCTGTAATCCAAATAGTTTGGGAGACTGAGGCAGATCACTTGAGGTCAGAAGTTCAAGACCAGCCTAGCCAACATGGCAAAATCCCATCTCTATTAAAAATACAAAATTAGCTGGGTGTGGTGGCTTGTGCCTGTAATCCCAGCTACTAAGGAGGCTAAGGCAGGAAACTGGCTTCAGCCCAGGAGGCGAAGCGTGCAGTGAACTGAGGTTGTGCAGCTGCACTCCAGCCTGGGCAATAGAGCAAGACCCTGTCTCAAAAGAAAAAAAAAAAAAAAAGACTTTTCAGAATTTTCTAGGACTTCACTTTCTCTCTTTTTTCCTATTGTAGAGCTGCAGCCATGTGACTGTTGTGGACAGAGCAGTGACCATCACAGATCTTCGATGAGCGTTTGAGTCCAACACTTTCTAAGAACAACAAAACCATATCAATGTACTATGGCCCCTTAATTTAAGCTTTCTAGAAAGCTTTGGAAGTTTCTGTAGACAGAATAGAAAGGGGCCATCACCTGAGAAAGAGTTGATTTTGCATTTCAGGTTTGAAAAGAAATAACTGAACATATTTTTTAGGCAAGTCAGAAAGAGAACATGATCACCCGAAAGCAACTGTAACTCAGAAATTAACTGTAAAGAATGGTATAATGAACCCCCATATACCCTTCCTTCTGGATTGACCAATTGTTAACATTTTTTTCCTTTCAGCTATCCATCTAATTTCTCTCCCAATTTGTTTTTATTTACCTCTGGGCTCAATAAGGGCATCTATGCAGAACTTTGGAAGCCATTTAGAAAATCTTTTGGATTTTCCTGTGGTTTATGGCAATATTAATGGAGCTTATTACCTTGGTGAGGGATAGTTCACTCCATCTGACCAGATGGTGAGGCTAACATATCCCGAAGAGTGATTTTGTCAGGAATTATTGTTATTTAACAAATATTTCAGGATATTTTTCCTCTACAATAAAATAACAATTAACTTATGTTTTTGTGCTCCAGAGTGATCCATTTGATCAAGCATTATATAAACAGGTTAAAAAAAAGCCATGGTTGTTTTGGAAAGGTGAGGGAAAAATGGAATTTGAGATATACTGACACCGAAGGTGTGTTCCAGTTCACTTGTAATTATTCCATGTTTTTTCTCTGCCTGTTGCCATCTTCCAGAGGTGTGAAGTCATCTCTGTTCTTTTGGTGCTGTCTCAAGTGGGTCAACCATTCACTTCCTTTTTATGCCCTCCACACTTTTGGCCGAGGATAATGAAGCCTTTGTTTAGAGTACCAGGTTGCACTCCAATAAATGATTACATTTCCCAGCCACCTCACCTTACTAATTTCATTGTGTTGGCTATTCCTTTCTGACTAAGGCAGCACCTAGGAAGATGCTCGAAGCAGCAATTGATAATGCATTTTTCTGTGAGCTGAGCCTGGTGTTGTAGGTGGCCTAGAAATAATGGTGTCATTTGTGACACCTCGAGTGAGGGCAGGAGAGTAAATCACTTTGGCTTGGAGAAGAGTGATTTCTTTCTACATTAGAATTCTATATGGGGGGAGGAAGAATCTGTGAATGCATAAAAGTTTCTCTTTGTTTTAAAATGCTGTGTCCTAAATATGTTCTTTATTGCTGAGGTTAGTGGTCCTTGAACTTGTCCCCTGAAAGAGCTCAGTTCTCTCTATTATTTTTCTTCTCTTAGGTTCTTAACTCCACATATCCTGGAAATTCCTTCTCTGCTATTTTTGGTATGGGTTGGTCTAGGGGCCAAGTGGGCTTGGGCAAGCCATTCCTTGCTGCGACTCAGAGCATCCTGGCTGTTCCACCTTGCTCTAAACAGTCCTAAAATTGCCCAGTCCTGTGCTTTTGGGAAATCCATCCCCTTCTTCCCATTCTTTGTCTACCACTTAGTTTAGGGCTTTCTTACCTTTTACTTGGACTATAGCCATAAGCTTTTACCAAGTCTCTTTGTTTTTAGCATTTCTTCATTCTAGTCTGTTCTGCACACTTTGATCAGGAGAAGCTCCTCACATTACAGCCATCTTCATGTTTTCTCTCTTGCTCAAAAACCTGCAACAGCTTCCCATTGCCGAAAATCTAAATGTAGCTTTTAGTCAGAACTTTCCACTTAAAGTTCTTACCCCTGGCTACACATTCTGATACCTAGGGAGCAATTTTAAAAATACTGATGCCTGTGCTCTGTCCCCATCAATTAAAGCTGTGAGTACAACCAGGATTGAAAACCACTGCATTGGTCCTTGATACGTATCCTAAGAATTGTGAGAATTATCAGTCTCCGCCCACGAAAGACATTCAGCCAGGTAAACAACATATCATACATTGCAACCACATTGATCATAGACTGATTGCCAAACTGCTGTATTTTCTTTTCTCTTCCTCTATGTACAAGATATCTTAGTAGCTAGATGGGTGCAGGAAATCAGTTTGTAGATCCCTCTGTATCTGGGCAGCCTAGCCATTGCAGAGGCACTCTGCATAGGACCGTCTCAGTGTCTCTGTCTTCTCCCTACCTCTGTGGAAGAGACATGAAATCAAGCCAGCCCACAAGGAAACTGAGACTGGGTAGGCTGGAGGGAAAGAGGAGGAGCCAGAGCTGTCGGGAAAGGAGGAAAGGAATACTGTGGATAAAAGGGACTGAACTATAAAACCTGAGGAAAGACATTATATTAAAAGGGTAATGACTATTTGCTTAAAGACTGACTCCTGGGTTCCTGAGGCTCAAAGACCAGGAGACTTTTTTGCTCTTGCAAGCTGCATAAGTACCATTCCTAATGTTCTGGGCTGAGGGGGGGGACAGAAGCAATGTCAGGTTGCCAAACAATGTCCCAGTTGCCCTGGGCAGCACAAACCCACCGAAGTGCCATAGGCAAAGTACAGAGAGAATCAGAGGAGCTGCTTTGCTGGGGGTCAGACAGACTGGATTTTTTTTCAGATGGTCACTTTCACATACTCCTAGTTAAATGGGACCAAAGGGAAAGAAGAAGGAACCCTTAAGCTTTTGTAATGTTGTCTTGGGTACCAGATACTTATATAAAAGGCAGCATGAGGGAAACATTCCCCTGGGCCAGTGTCATGAAAGCTGGGTTTCAGCTTTCATTTTGGTACCACAGAATTTAAAATTATAATTGCCTATCCCCTTTGTCTGTTGATGGCTTCTTTGAGGTTTTAGTTACCCCAGTTGAAAGAGAAATGTTTCATATTGGGGTTGAGAAGAATGGAGGCCACTAGGAGCAAAGCTTTGATGAGTAAAAGTCCAGTGAATCCTGCAATTTTAATATGTTTCCAGTGGATTTTGAGAACACAGTTTTAGGACCAGAGTTGATGTTGTTCTGTAGAAAATAGTTACAGTTGGCCGGACACAGTGGCTCACGCCTGTAACCTCAGCATTTTGGGAGGCCAAGGTGGGGGGATCACAAGGTCAGGGGTTTGCAACCAGCCTGGCCAACGTGGTGAGACCCTGTCTCTACTAAAAATACAAAAATTAGCCAGATGTGGTAGCACACATCTGTAGTCCCAGCTACCTGGGAGGCAGGAGAATCTCTTGAACCCAGGAGGCAGAAGTTGCAGTAAGCCTCGACTGTACCACTGCATTCCAGCCTGGGTGACAAAGACTGTCTCAAAAAAAAAAAAAAAAAAAAAGAAGGAAAATAGTTATAGTCAGCTTGGTATCGTGCCTCTTACTGTTTTAACCCCACCTGAGTTTAGAGATCAGTTTGTCCAAGGATCTTTCAAGCATGTGACCCCAGAGTAGAACTTCTGAGTCAAGGATCATTTTTTCTGAGGAGCTTTGCTTAGGGCACTGGAAGGCCTGTTCAGATCAAGACTATTGGAATATTATCCTCTCAGGAGGAAGTGCCATGTTGAACAATTAAGAATTTGCTTCTAGGCCTAGGTGTACATTCACCCTGACTCAAGGGAAAAAAAAGAAAAAGAAAGTGAGAGAGAAGCTTTATTAACATGATAAAATAATCTTCTGATACAACACCCAGAATCATACTTAAACAAATACTGATGCAGGAACAAGATAGATCCATTCTAACTACTATTATTGAACAGTATTCTGAAAGGATAATCTAGCCAATGCAATGAAGTAAGGGAAAGAGTATATTACTGGAAAGCAGACATATTTGGGCTACAAACTAAGTATCTACCTAGAAATCTGAAGATAATAAACTCTGAAAAAATGATTAGACCATTAGAGAAAGGCACAAGGTTGTTCACTAAAAGATAACATTTTAAAACTTTGAAAATAGCTTTCCAGTATAGGTAATAGCCATTTGTGATTGGGGAGAAAACAATCTCGTTCAGCACCTAGCAACTAAAAATATAAAATACTTTGGAACAAAGTTAACAGGAAATGTGCAAGCCTTTTATGAAGAAAACCACTAAGCTTTTCAGAGGGACATGAAGAAAATAAATGGAAAGACAGACACACTATCGGTATTCTATGAGAAGAAGATTTAATGTTTTAAAGATGTTACTTCTTTAACCCAAAAATTTAAGTGCAAGTTTACTAAAAAATACCATTTTTTAACTTAAGATTATTCTAAAATTAATCTGGAATATGTGTAATAACCATTTAAAAATTGAAAGAAAAGAATGTCGGGGAAAATTTTTATTACCAAATAACACTTATTGCAAACTATCAGTTAAAATAATTTGATTCTGACCGAGGACTAGATTAAGAATCAGCACACTTTATTGCTGAAGGAAGTCAGACTTAAAGAGTTTAAGTTTCCCAAGGCCACAGAACTCCAAATGAATAGTGTCAAACGTCCAAACCCACAGTCAACCACTGCAATGCTGCCTTCCTAAAATATACGTAAATACATGTATTCAGAAAAACTTTGAATAAGCAGCACATTAAAATATTAATATTAGATAGCTGTAGGTGATGGAATTATGAGATGACTGTTCTTTTTTCCCCCATATCCTTTTTTGAATTTTTTCAAATGTGCTACAAAGAACATGTATTGCTTTTATAATTAGACAAAAGGACAATACCTTCTATTTTCAGAAACCAAAACTTCATTGCCCCTTCAATGTGGGAATCCAGCCAAGACCTTATTCTTGGACAGCGTCAGTGAAAGGGGCTTGGGAAAGCTCTTGGGCGTAGCAACAGAGGCATGTCATATATGGAAACCTTCCATGAGGGTGACCTCACCACTGGAATGCATTCAACATAAACCTTGCTGCAAGAACTAGCAGAGCTCTTTGGACAAAACATGGTGAGTGGAGAGCTGTGAAAGAACTGACCTAAAGAAGAGAGAAATGCTGGTCATATGGCCTGAAGAAGTCTTGGGTACCCATCTGGGCTTAGCAGGTCTCCTTTATAATCTATTCCTAGAGAAGGATTATTTTTCCCAACCTCAGCCTTCTCTAAAAAAGAACTCTCACAATGGCCCAGGGTTATTTCTGTCTCTTTTTTTCTGGGCTTGTGTTAGAATGTAGGATGTTCCTTGTGTTGGACAAATCATAATGGGTTATTGGTGGGTGACAGAAGGGAAAGCATTACCTAGACTAAAGGAAGTAGCACTATTCTTAGATATTCTTCCATCATTCCCTGTGGTTAGCTTCCCTATCCCCAGCAGCCTCCTCTCATCACCCCATTTTGCCTTTAAAAAAGTGAATGGTGTCATATCGAAGCACAATTTCATCAAAATATGTCCATGTCACCTACAGGACAAGCCCCTGTGCCACACTGAACAGCTCTGAACACCCTGCTCACCACACTTAAACACCGGTGTCTAGAACTTTTCTCACGCAGCCTAGTTTTCACTTTTCCCATGTTGTAGGAGGGTTTAAATTTTTTTTTTAAATTTCTAGTAGAGATGGGGTCTCACTTTGTTGTCCAGGCTGGCCTCAAACTCCTGGCCTCAAGCAGTTCTCCCGCCCCAGCCTTCCAAAGGACTGGGATTACACGTGTGAGCCACTGTGCCTGGCCAAGAGTTCAAAATTATTTTTAATTGAACCATGGTAAATGCAGGAAAAGTTAACGTAAATATTTTGGTTCTCAGCCACAGTGTTGTTCTGTAAGCACAGGGCCTGTAATTATGGCCTTTGAGACTTCAGCTGGCCTGTAAGGAAACCACATATTGAAAATAGATCCCTGTTAGTTAAAATTCGTTTAATTGTGGCCGGGTGCGGTGGCTCATGCCTGTAATCCCAGCACTTTGGAAGGCTGAGGTGGGTGGATCACCAGAGATCAGGAGTTCGAGACCAGCCTGTCCAACATGGTGAAACCTTGTCTCTACTAAAAGTAGAAAAAAAAAATTAGCTAGGCTTGGTGGTGGGCACCTGTAATCCCAGCTACTCAGGAGGCTGAAGCAGGAGAATCACTTGAACCCGGGAGGCCGAGGTTGCAGTAAGCTGAGATTGCACCACTGTATTCCAGCCTGGTGACAGAGTGAGATTCCATTTCTAAATATATATATATATATATATATATACACACACACACACATACATACACACACTATTAATTGCACTAACAGAAAACTCAATTAAAACTGGTGTTCAGGAATAGCTGGATCTAGTGTCCGTTATTATCAAGGCTAATTTTTTACTCATGTCTAGGCTCTTCTATGCTTAATGTTTGTTCATTTAATTGGGTTTTTCAATGAGGAAGCTTTGACAGCTAGAGGTTTATAGCCTATTGTCTTGGTAAATCCAGCAAGAAAAAAATCTTTTTTTTGGTTTTGGAAACAGAATCTCTCACCCTGTCACCCAGGCTGGAGTGCAGTGGCACGATCTCAGCTAACTGCTACCTCTGTCTCCCGGGTTCAAGTGATTCTCCTGCCTCAGCCTACCGAGTAGCTGGGATTACAGGTGCACAACACCACGCCTGGCTAATTGTTGTCTTTTTTTTAGTATAGACAAGGTTTCACTGTGTTGGCCAGGCTGGTTTCAAACTCCTGACCTCAAGTGATCTGCCTGCCTAGTCCTCCCAAAGTGCTGGGATTACAGGTATGAGCCACTGCACCTGGCCAAGAAAAAGAACTTCTTAGTCCAACAGTTTCAACACAATTTTTGGAATTGAGTTATTGGGTCATGGCTTTGGTCATGACTTCATCCTTGAACCAAACACTCCGGCCAGGAGGATGGAATGCTTTAATTTGCCAGGCCTGGATCATGTACTACAACTCATCTAAGCCACATGCACTGAGAGTGGCAGCATTCATTTCCAAAGAAGAACCATGGTGGCATTAATAGCAGAAGGGGAAGTAGATGCTGGGCAGGCAAAGGCAACAGATGACCACCGTGATTGCCTAGGAGAAAAAACCAGAGCCTACCGTCTTTACTGTGGGCAGTATGACCCAAAGTGAGTGAGCTAATAAAACATAAATGGGAACACCAAGTGCCGTTAGCTTTAGATAATAGCAGCTGGATGATGGGGTTGTGACCATCTTACTCCCAAAAAGGCGGGTCACATATCCAGGCTGTGGGTCGTTCATTTAATTTGCATATGTTGAGTACCTGCTGTGTGCAGAGCAGTGTTCAAAGTACACAAGAAGTAGATGTTATGCTCTCTGTCCTCAAGGAGCAGATAATGAACTAAGATAAAGGAGCCCTACTCTTGTGGTACAGCGCAAGAGCAATTCATCAATAAGTGTATGCAGAATCATGAGCACCAACTTTATCTGTAAGTGTTGAGAGAACCCAAGTGAGGGAGAAATGAATGTTTTCCTTTTAATTTCTGTATCTTTTACTCAACAACTATTTGCTGTATGCCTACAAAACGCCAAGTCCCACAGGTCTCTAGAAACCTTGTAGAAAGGACTTCAGACAGATTCCCAAGATATGTAAAATATTAGAAAGAGAAGATAAGTTGAAAGTGGGGGAAAAGGAATCTAGAAATCAAGTATGCAACAAAGTGAATTCAGCAATAAAGCAAAACACGTAAACCATGATTACTTACATTCCTACCTTGGATGGGCCATAGGATGCATGATGTTATAAATAATTTGTGCAACAAGCCCAACATCAGGTAGAGGGGTTCTGTTTTCCCATATAAATGATGGAATCTCACTAAAGCACAAGATATGGTACGTGTGATTCTACTGGAACTCTGGTGGGTGTAGGGAAGGCAACATAGTCCAGCTGAGATGGTGGGCCGTCTGCTAACTGGATCTAACCTAGGGATGGATTTCATCATATCTGGGAGCTCAGGTGGACCACATGCACTTTAAACAACTCTGAGTTTCTCTGCACTGCCATTTAATAAATATTTAGTGACAGTAAGCTCAGAATTGTAATCTTTGGCAAGTGCTTGGGGTACAGCTGCCATTCTTTATTGGTGGCTGAGTAAGATCTGAGGCTCTCAACTTTTAACTCATTTTTGTTTTGTTTAAACACAGCTCACCAAGATAGAGGAACACAGCCTATGACCCACTTCCTGTATGGATTCCCTCTTTAAGTGGTGAAGGAGCTTGCAGTAACCACAAAGCTGTCTGTATAAGCAAATTTAGGGAATCAAATATCAGACAGTGTGGTTGTCTCCTAATTTATGAACTTGAGAATACCTACCTAGGTAACAGCTAACATCAGAGGTCTTTGATCGGTAGCCTTTCTGTCCATAATTAGCTAGTAGCTTCTGCTGTATGTATAGACCATTCCCTGTCCAAGAAAATTAAACTATATCATCAGAGTAAGAAAGAATATTTATCTTTCTTTTGTGTGAGTGTGGTTTTAGTTTTTTTGGTGGGGGTCATTTGCTTTTGAGAGAGGACTTGCTCTGTCACCCAGGCTGGAGTGCAGTGGCCCTATTATAGCTCACTGTAGCTTTGACCTCCTGGGCTCAAGTGGTTCTCCCACCTCAGCCTCCTGAGTAGAGGGGACTAGAGACATACACCACCACGCCTAATCTTTTAAGTTTTTTGTAGAGACAGGGCCTTGCCATATTACCCAAGCTGGTCTCAAACTCCTGGCCTCAAGCAATCCTCCCACTTTGGCCTCCCCAAAGTGCTGGGATTACAGGCATGGGCCATTGTGCCGAGCCTCCTTTTTTTTTCTTAATAGCAAGGGAGGCCATGCAACCAGCTCATCCAAAGACAGTATCAGATTTTTTTATTTTAATGAATGGAAAAGTACATGGTGTGCGAGCCCAGCCTAGATCATCCCTCAGGAAAGTTGTTCCCACAGCTCTGACCCATGAAGCAGAAGAGCAGTGCCTGATCAATTCGCCCATGGCCTGTAGTTGAGAATAGGTCAATGAAAGTTACAAATGATTTGATATTATTCTTGCTACCATAAGGCAAAAATTATGGCAGTGGACATCGGTATTCAGACAGACTGAATATTGAGAGATACTGAATATTTGGTTACAGACCACTGCAATAAAGCAAGTTGCACACAGTTTTTTTGGTTTCCTAGTGCATGTAGAAGTTATGTTTGCACTACACTGGACTCTATTAACTGTGCAATAGCACTGTCTAAAAAACAATGTACATACCTTAATTTTGAAATACTTTATTGCTGAATCGCAGCAAGCACGATGGCAGGAGATACATGGGTCCTGTACTCCAGCCTCTGGAGACCAAGATTTGCCTTCTGCTTACCCTGGACTGAGGTGCTCATGACAGAGTTAGTGAAAAGGAGAAAATCTGGTGAGTCTTGGCGCCCCTACCCCCCAAGTATGCCATGGCTGAGGAGTGGGCACCAGGGACCAGACTGAGGTTGGATTTCAAACTAAGATACTTGATTTTCGTAGTTAAGATAAAGAGCTTTGAGTACGTGATGGTGAAAACGTCATAATCCATGTTAACATGCACAACTTGAAGGCATGATAAATGGGGGAGGGACGAGGGGGTGGGGAGGTGGGGACAGATAGCATGGGGAGAAATGACAGATATAGGTGAGGGGAAGAAAGGCAGCAAATCACACTGCCGTGTGTGTACCTATGCAACAATCTTGCATGTTCTTCACATGTACCCCAAAACCTAAAATGCAATTAAAAAAAAATTTAATTAAAAAAAAATTAAAAAAACGAACAAATAAACAAAACATTAACCAGGCAGGGTGGTGCACACATGTAGTCTCAGCTGCTTGGGAAGCTGAGGTGGGAGGATCTCTGGAGCCTGGGAGGTAAAGGTTCCAGTGAGCCATGATTGTGCCACTGCACTTCAGCCTGGGTGACAGAGCCAGACCCTGTCTGAAAAAATATATAAATCAATTAATATAGTTTTTTTTGTTGTTGTTTTCTTTTCTTTTCTTTCTTTTTTTTTTTTTTTTTTTTTGAGACAGAGTTTCACTCTGTCGCCAGGTGCCAGGCTGGAGTGCAGTGGCACAATCTCGGCTCACTGCAACCTCCACCTCCTGGGTTCAAGCAATTCTCCTGCCTCAGCCTCCTGAGTAGCTGGGACTACAGGCACACACCACCATGCCCAGCTAATTTTTGTATTTTTAGTAGAGACGGGGTTTCACCATGTTGACCAGGATGGTCTGAATCGCTTGACCTCATGATCCACCCGCCTCAGCCTCCCAAAGTGCTGGGATTACAGGCTTGAGCCACCGCACCCAGCTTAATATAGTTTTTCTTGGAGAATAAAGAAGTAACAATAACCAAGAAATGTTTTAAAGAGAGTGAAGATACAATATTTGCTTCAACTGATATTAAAAACTATATTTAAAATGATTATATAATGTTGCTGCAATAAACAGAAATAAAGGAAAGGGGCATAGGAAGGGGATATTTCAAATCATAGAGATAGTGGTGACTAGTTAATACATAAATGGTGTTGACTAGTTAATAAATGACGTTGGGTAGTAGCCCTTGGGAAACAGAGCAGACGGGAAGTTGTTTCTTATCTTACAGTTTAAAGTAAATTTTAGCTGGGTTAAAGATTTCAGTGTAACAATATAAATAATGAAAGTGACAGATAAAATGCAGTGAAATATTTACACAATTATGAGTTGAGGAATTCTTTCCTAAATATGGCACAAAGATACATACCATGAAGGAAAAACAGATTTTATTTCATCAGAAGTTAAAACATTATCAGAGGATTACCTTGGGAGGATTATTGACTGGGAGAGCTTACTTGGAAACTTGATTTAGATAGTGGTTAAAATAGTGGTGGGCTGGGTGAGGGGGGAAGGAATCGGGGAGATGTAAGTCAAAGGGTACAAAGTAGAAGATATGTATGTAGGATGAACAAGTCTAGTGATCTAATATACAACATGAGCACTATAGGTCATAAACTGTATTGTATAAGGGATTCTTGTGAAATAAGTAGATTTTAGCTGTTTTTGTCACAATGTTAACTATGTGAAATGAGAGATACCTTAATTTGCTTCACTATTGTAACCACTGTCCTGTCTATATGTACCCCATAACATCATGTTGTAAACCTCCAATATGCACATTTAAAAAAAAGAAGACATTGAGCCCTTAAAATTGGTAGTTTACTTTACTATCTGTAGGTTATTCCTCAATTTAAAAAAATTAGTAAAACATGTTTGGCAAAAGCTACTATGAATGTAATTTTAAAAGAAATGACAAGCTCAGAATATTTGCAACAGTCATGACATAGAAAATATTAATTAATGTCTTTCATTTAACAGCTATTGTGAATCAATAAGAAAGAATCGGCACTCTAATAGCAATGCTAAAAGCACAAATAGGCAATTTTGAAAAGATATATAAAGAAACAGTAAACAAGAAAAGATTTGCAACTCACTAATAACCAAACTCAAAACCCAGTGCAACACTGTTTTTTACTTATTAGACAACAAAAATTAACAAGTTTTATGCTGTCTAGCTAGGCTGTAGAAAACGAAAATGAATACTATTGTGCCTAAGTGGGAGAATAAATTGCAATCATTTTTTGAAGGTCTGGCTTAGCAAAAATGATTTATAATTAAAATGTACATTCTATTTGACAAACTTGTCTTTTTAAATTGCTCTAAAGAGAGAATCCCACAGGTACACAAATATAAGTAAAAGTATTGTTTGTAACAGTGACCAATCAGAAACCACTTGCATGGCCAAGTTCCATAAATACCTTGAAATATACACAGCCAATAAAATAGTTGATGATGAAAATTATACTATGGACACAGAAAAAAGAAATTCCAAAACATTTTGTGATATGGTAAAAGTGGGATTTGTTTATTGCCTTATTTGATGGATATTTATTGAGTGCCTGCATGTGTCAGACCCTCTCCTAGGTGCTGGGAGTACAGCAGTGAGCAAAAATGAAAAGAAATTGCTGCCTTCCTGGAGCTGACATTTTAATGACAAATGTAAGATAATAAAAAGCAAAATAAATCATTTAGTATATAAAATAGCATGTGCAGTATGCTACCAGTTTTCTTTTTCTTTTTACTTTTTTTTTTTTTTTGAGATAGAGTCTCACTCTGTGGCCCAGGTTAGAGTGTAGTGGCACAATCATAGCTCAATGCAGCCTCAAACTCTTGGGCTCAAAGGCTCCTTCTGTCTCAGCCTCCCAAGTAACTGGGACTACAGATGCACACCACTACACCCAACTAATTTTCAAAATTTTCTGCAGAGACAGGGTCTTACTCTGTTGCCCTGACTAGTCTTGAACTCCTGGCTTCAAGCAATCCTCCCACTTCAGTCTCCCAAAGTGCTAGGATTACAGGCATGAGCCACTACACCTGGTCCTGATACCATGTTTTCTAAGTGTATATATTTATATTGAAAATGTCTCAAAAGATTTAAGTTCATAGTGGTTATCAGAATGGTGAGGACTTTTTTTTACTTTGTATGTCTTATTCCTGAAGTTTTTTGAGTGAGTATTCTTTTTAAATCATATGAAAATAATTTTTATTTTGACAAAAATAAAATGACAAAAGTTTATTTTTAAAAGTTTCTGAATAAATATTTGCTATTTTTTAATTCCCTTGAAGAAATTAAAAGATCAATGACTGTCAAGTGGGAAAAAATGTTATGTTGAAGAGTTCAAATGCAAATCCAAACCATGAGGATATGGGGCAATGGGAACTCTCATTCATTGCTGGTGGGAATGCCAAATGGTACATCTACTTTGAAAGACAATTTGGAAGTTTCTTACAAAACTAAACATATTCTTACCAGAAGATCTTGCAGTTGCACTCCTTGGTATTTACCCAAATGAGTTGAGAACTTATGTTCACACAGAAACTTGCAAAATAATGGTTTTGTTGTTGTTTTTGAGAGAGATTCTCTCTCTCTCACCACTCTGGAGTACAGTGGCACCATCTCAGCTCACTGCAACCTCTGCCTCCTAGGATCAAGAAATACTTCTGCTGCAGCCTCCTGAGCAGCTAGGTTGGCTACTTAAAAAAAAAAAAAAAAAAAAATCTGAAAATAACAAAGTGTTGGCAAAGATGTCGAGAAATTGGAATCATTGTGCACCACTGTTGGTGGAAATGGAAAATGATGTGGTCCCTACAGATAACAGTTTGGTGCTTCATCAGAAAAGTAAAAAGAAAATTACCGGCCAGGCACGGTGGCTGAAGCCTGTAATCCCAGCACTTTGGGAGGCCGAGGCAGGCGGATCATGCAGTCAGGAGTTCAAGACCAGCCTGGCCAACATAGTGAAACCCTGTTTCTACTAGAGATACAAAAAATTAGCTGGGTGTGGTGGCACGTGCCTGTAATTCCAGCTACTTAGGAGGCTGAGGCAGGAGAATCATGTGAACCAGGGAGTTGGAGGTTGCAGTGAGCTCAGATTGCACCACTGCACTCCAGCCTGGTGACAGAGCGAGACTACGACTCAAAAAAAAAAAAAAAAAAGAAAGAAAGAAAATTACCAAATGGTCCAGCAATTCCCCATCTGGGTTTATACCCAAAAGAAGTAAAAGCAGGGTCTCAAAGAGTTCACCCATGTTCATAGTGGCATGAATCACAATAGCCAGGAAGAGAAAGGTCTTCAAGTGTCACTCAATAGATGAATGGATAAACAGAATGTGTTATATAGATACAATGAAATATTATTCAGCTTTAAAAAGCAAGGAGGCCACACATTGGCTCATGCCTATAATCCCAGCACTTTGGGAGACTGAGGCAGGAGGATCGCTTGAAACCAGCCTAGGCAACATATTGAGACCCACCCCCACCTCTAAAAAAATTAAAAATTTTTTATTTTATATTTATGTGTTTTTTTTTTTTTTCAGACAGAGTTTCACTCTTGTCACCCAGGCTGGAGTGCAATGGCGCGATCTCAGCTCACTGCAACCTCTGCCTCCTGGGTTCAGGCAATTCTCCTGCCTCAGTCTCCTGAGTAGCTGGGATTACAGGCACGTGCCACCATGCCCAGCTAATTTTTTGTATTTTTACAAAGGGGTTTCACCATGTTGACCAGGATGGTCTCGATCTCTTGACCTTGTGATCCACCCGCCTCGGCCTCCCAAAGTGCTGGGATTACAGGCTTGAGCCATCGCACCAGGCCCCAAAAATTAAAATTTAAAAAAAAAATTGCGCCGGGCGCGGTGGCTCAAGCCTGTAATCCCAGCACTTTGGGAGGCTGAGGCGGGTGGATCACGAGGTCGAGAGATCGAGACCATCCTGGTCAACATGGTGAAACCCCGTCTCTACTAAAAATACAAAAAACTAGCTGGGCGTGGTGGTGCATGCCTGTAATCCCAGCTACTTAGGAGGCTGAGGCAGGAGAATTGCCTGAGCCCAGGAGGCGGAGGTTGCGGTGAGCCGAGATCGCGCCATTGCACTCCAGCCTGGGTAACAAGAGCGAAGCTCCGCATAAAAAAAAAAAAAAAAAATTGCACCGGGCGCGGTGGCTCAAGCCTGTAATCCCAGCACTTTGGGAGGCCGAGGTGGGTGGATCACGAGGTCAAGAGATCGAGACCATCCTGGTCAACATGGTGAAACCCCGTTTCTACTAAAAATACAAAAAATTAGCTGGGCATGGTGGCAAGTGCCTATAATCCCAGCTACTCAGGAGGCTGAGGCAGGAGAATTGCCTGAGCCCAGGAGGCGGAGGTTGCAGTGAGCAGAGATCGCACCATTGCACTCTGGCCTGGCTAACAAGAGCGAAACTCCATCTAAAAAAAAAAAAAAAATTAGCTGGGTGTGGTGGACCATGCCTATAGTCCTAGCTGTTTGGAAGATTGGGGCAGGAGCATTGTTTGAGCCTAGGAGTTTGGGGCTGCAGTGAGCTATGATCATGCACTGAACACCAGGCTGGGTGACAAAGTAGGGCCCTATCTCTGAAAAATAAAATTAGATAAATACAAAGCAAGGAAATTTTGACACATGCTACAGCATGGATGAACCTTGAGGACACTGTATGATTCCACTCTTAAGAGGTACCTAGAGTTGTCAGATTCAGAGACAGAAAGTAGAAGAGCGATTGCCAGGGCCTGGAGGAAGGGAAAGTGAGGAGTCATTTAATGCACAGTTTCAGTTTTGCAAAATGGAAAAGTTCTGGAGACTGGTTTTACAACAATGTGAATATACTTAATAGTACAGAACCCACTGGGCGTTCATGCCTGTAATCCCAGCACTTTGGGAGGCGGAGGTAGGTGGATCACCTAAGGTCAGGAATTCGAGACCAACCTTGCCAACATGACAAAAACACCATTTCTATTAAAAATACAAAAATTAGCTGGACGTGGTGGCAGGTGCCTGTAATCCCAGCTACTCAGGAGGTTGAGGCAAGAGAATCTCTTGAACCCAAGAGGTGGAAGTTGTAGTGAGCCGAGATCACATCATTGCATTCCAGCCTGGGTGACAGGAGCGAAACTTTGTCTCAAAAAAAAATTTAAAAGTACAGAATCATACTTTTAAAATGGTTAATATTGTAAATTTTATGTTATATGTGTTTTCCACAATTACAATTTTTTTTAAGTTAAAATGTAGAAAAAGAAGTGCTTAGCCTTCCTAAGGATGTTATAAAACAGACACTAAATAGGAAAGACATTTGATTAAACTTCATAAGGTAAATGCTACCAGACAAAATCGAAAGGCAAATGTTAAACAGGTGGGAAAATATTTGCAACACTTGTGATAGACGAAAGGCTAATAATATTAGTAATATAATATACAAAGATCTCTTATAACTTAAGAAGATAAAAGTGAACAATCAAATCAAAAAAAAAAGAAAAAGAAAAAAACAGGAACCAGCCATTTTCAGAGAAGTTCAGGCACAGTGGCTCACGCCTGTAATTCTAGAACTTTGGGAGGCCAAGGAAGGCAGATCACCTGAGGTCAGGAGATCCAGACCAGCCTGGCTAACATAGCGAAACCCCATCTCTATGAAAAAAAATAAAATACAAAAATTAGTCAGCCATGGCGGCGCACACCTGTAATCCCAACTACTTGGGAGGCTGAGGCATGAGAATCATTTGAACCCAGGAGGCAGATGTTGCAGTGAGCCAAGGTCACACCACTGCACTCCAGCCTGGGCGACAGAGGGAGACTGTCTCAAAAAAAAAAAAAAAAGAAGAAGAAAAGTTAACCTAAGACAAACGTGTTCATTCTCATTAGTTACCACATAATTTTAACTTTTAATTTTAGGCTGGGTGCAGTGGCTCATGCCTGTAATTCCAACACCGTGGGAGGCTGAAGCTGTTGGATCGCTTGAGACCAGGAGTTCAAGACCAACCTGGTCAACATGATAACACCCTGTCTCTTAAAAAAAAAAAAAAAAAAATTAGCTAGGCAGGGTGGCGCATGCCTGTAATCCCAGCTACATGGAGGCTAAGGCAGGAGAATCACCTGAGCCCAGAAAGTCAAGGCTCTAGTGAGATGTGATTGTACCACTGCACTCCAGTCTGGGCAACAGAACAAAACCCTGCCTCAGTAATAATAATAATTTTAAAACAAGAAGATGCTAAGTTTCTCCTTCCCGATTAGGAAACAGTTAAAAGATGGATAATTGCCAATGTTCCACATGGTTCATCTGGACACAAGGAGAACCAGACAAGCAGAGTGGCTCATTTGGACAACTGCCCACTCAAGGAAACAACTCAATGTGAACACCTAGTTTGTATATTTTCCTTTTTTTTTTTTTTCAACCATTGCATATATTACTTTTGTAATTGGGGAAAAAACCAAAACAGTTCTAAGGTAGCCAGTCATATGAAAATTGACATGTTTCTAAATGTAATAAACAAATGCAATGCCCTAAAAACAAAACAAAACAAAACAAAACAAAACAAAAAAAACCCCATGTTAATGCTAACTGTCTGAAATAACATGTAGAGGGAGGTGGTCTCATACTCTCTTGGCAGGAGTGTAAATTGGTATAAATTTTTGAAAGACAACTTGGCAGTTTCCATCAATATTTCACATGTGCTTACTTGATCAAACAATTCCACTTTAACAAATTTACCATATGAAAATACTTCCACATGTGTACAAAGGCACATGTACAAAGTATTATTAATGTTAGCAGTGTTTGCATGAGTAAAAAAACCTGGAAATGACTCAAGAGCCCATCATAGGATATTGGTCAAATAATTTATGGTATTTTCCCTACTATGGGAAACGCCAAGAGTTTAAAAATTATATGAACTGATTTTGAAAGACATTCAACAGTATTATTAAGAGAACATGACAAGTTTCAGAACAGTTGTAAAAACATATGAAATGACATAATCCCATTTTTGTAAAATAATATTAAAATGTTAGAAAAAATCTGGAGAAAAATTATTTTTTAAATAGATATTCTATTGCTGTTAACAGTGGCCTTCTCTGACTTAGGTCACTTAGAGCTAAGTGGGATTATTGGGAACACTTGCTTTCTAAAATACACATTTTTGTAATTTTTTTTTTTAATTGAGACGGAGTCTTGCTCTGTCACCAGGCTGGAGTGCAGTGGCGCAATCTCAGCTCACTGCAACCTCTGCCTCCTGGGTTCAAGCGATTCTTCCGCCTCAGCCTCCCGAATAGCTGGGACCACAGGAGTGTGCCACCATGCCCAGCTAATTTCTGTATTTTTAGTACAGATGTGGTTTCACCATGTTGGCAGGATGGTCTTGATCTCTTGACCTCATGATCCGCCCACCTTGTTCTCCCAAAGTGCTGGGATTACAGGCATGAGCTACCACACCTGGCCACATTTTTGTATTTTTTGAATTTTTTGCATTGAATTTTTGAAACCAGGAAAAAATGTTAAATATAAAAAACCAAGTACCTGGTGTAACCTCCCCCACCTCTGATCGCCCCCTAAGCATGTCTTCAGAGCTTCAGTTTATTCAGTTAGTCCCTGCTTTCTGGTCTCTGGGCTGTTTGGAGCCTAGATCACAACCAGTGCCTTTTTGTTGTTTATCGGCTGGCTGTGCCAACTAAGAGGTGAATATCCGTAAGGGCAAGGTGTCCCCATCTGCACCCTGACCTTGGTGCTGAGTGATTAGAAGAAAGCTCATCTGTGAAGCAACCCTTACTTGGAGAAGGGAAAGGATGCCCCCCTCTAGACCCATGATCAGGTCAAGGGAGATTGGCACCCTGTCCTTGCCCTGGCCTCATTGCCACACACGAAGAGAGACTCAGAGGTGGAGGCTTATGATCCTGTCACTTAGCGTTGAGCTACCTGCCTTGGCCAGTTGGGACTGAGAGCTCCCTGTCCATGCTGGGACAGCTCACACCTCATCCACTGCCACCTTCTATGCAGCACAGCTCCAGAAAAGGAGTCTTCTTCCCTCCAGAATCCCCAGTGAAGGCTTTTCCAGGAACGTGAAAGGCTCAGGAAGCTTCCCACAGGGCACTTAAGCACTAAACACACAGGCCAGTGGTCAAATGATGAGTAAATGAAACTTACAATGACAAAAGTGTTCCTTCTCCACAGGGAACACCTGCAGGTCATCATGCAAAGCCTTCTTTAATCTTTCCTCTGGGCTCTCTCAGCAGAGGACACTCCTCATTCACACCTCATCCTGCATCAATTTTCAGTTAATGAGGAAGTCAGACCTGCACCAAGCCATTGCACCAGGCCACCCCAAACCACCTGGAACTCCCAGTGCACTTAGCAGGTATGCAATGCATGCTTCTTCTGTGGAAGTGGGGGTATCCTGGGCACCAGGTGGGGAAAGTTTGAGAAACAGAGATGGCTGAGGCCCACTCCCAGAGTTTCTGATTCAGTAGGTCTAGGTGACGCCTGAGAATCTGCATTGTGAGCACACTCCCATGCCATGCTGTTGCTGTGTTCTTGTGGTCCCATGCTTTGGGAACCTCTGTGTTGAAGATGGAACAGGAAGGCAGTCAGGAAGCTGTGCCCCACTCCAGGCCATATAGGAGTGGAACCTGAGGTAGTGCAGGCCAGCAGGGATGGAGGGGAAGATCCAGAACTGAGGGCATTTCTGATGGGGAGAGCACCAGGCTGTGGTACCCAGGTGGTTGTGGGAGCATGAGGGAGAGAGAGGGTTCTCAACTGGCTGATTAGACTGACTGGCATCTAGCTTAAAGGGCTGAGGGGACCGACTCAGAGGTTGGTAACCCAGGAGGCACAGCAGCTTTAAGGGTAGGTAAGAAGGGTTCAGATTTAAACAGGATGAGTTTAAAGAGCTGGAGAGTCATCTGGATTGGGATGTCCAATAGGCAATTGATTATTTTAGTCTGGATCAGGGTGCGGGATGGGGACCATGGGAATGTGGAGTTGAAAGTAATACCACAGAACTGGTAGCTGATAATGTGGGAAATGAACCAGCTACCTAAGGAGAGTACATGAATTACACAAAGAAGAGCAAGAACCAGCCGGGCATGGTGGCTCAGGCCTGCAATCCCAGCACTTTGGGAGACCAAGGCGAGAGGATTGCTTGAACTCAGGAGTTCAAGAGCAAGACCCTGTCTAATTAAAAAAAAAAAAAAAAAGTAGAAGCTCAAGAACCACAGGACTGTGGAAAATCCTACAGACCGGGAGTCTTGTTAGGTGTGTCTCAATCCTGAAGCAGGTCCCTAGGTCTGTATTCTCTATATTTAGAGACTGGTAGAGGAAATCCAGGAAGGAGCCAAGAGAGAATGAAGTTCCACAGGAAGCTTAAGGTGTCCTGAGACCCTCAGAGAACTCAGCCTAGGGGTTAGGAGCTTGTGGCAAGGTGCAACAGGTGAGAAGGGCACACAGGATTTCTTTCCTGGGTGCAGATGGCATTTCCCTTCAGCTTTCCTTGGTCCCAGGCTCATGCCAGACAAGGCACAATTGCACCCGTTTTGGGGACAGTGCCTGGGACACCCAGGCAGACCAAGGCAGCATGCGGCAGGGCCTGAGGAGGGAGGTGTGGACAGAGGAGGCCCACTGCCATTCTTGGTATGGTTCTCACTCCAGGAGCACAGCTGCATCTGGTCTCACTCTGGGAAGCTTATAAGGCCTGGTGTGAGTTTTGTTTATGCAAGTGCAGCATAAAAGGAACAAATCTACCAGCACCGGGGCTGTTGCCACTGAGTCCTTTTGCATACATTTTTCAAATGATAATTCACTCTATCCACCCCCCTTTACTACCCCCAAGGCAATTTATTGAAAAAACCACCTTATATGGTAATATTGCTAACACACCGTCAGCTGGCCTTTTTAGGGACTTTGTTTAAAGAAGATCCGCCTCTGGGGTTTTATATTGCTCTGGTATTCATGCCAAAGACACACCAGCCCTCAGTCACTGGGAGAAGAACCTCTCATACCCTCAGTGAGTACTGTACGGCTTTTGCCGTCTCTTCCTTTCTGGGGCTGCCTGGACTCCTGGGTGCGGGAGGTGCCTTCAGATTGGCCTGGCTTCTGTGACGCTGGTCCAGATCACACGCCAGGGCCCTTGGTGGGCAGCGGCACCTGCAAGCATACTGTGGCCTGCTGGGAAAAGGCATCTCTGGCCATGGGACATCCTGGGGCAGGGGCAGCTTGGAACTGTGCTCCCTGCCTTGGACTGGGGGCCGGTGGGATATAATGCCTGCAGATTCTACTAGCCCTGCTCCCCAGGGCCAGTGCAGATCCACACCCTGATGTCCTTTGTCTTGGGTCAGAATGTCTGGGAGGCTGTTTTAGGGGATCAGATACTTTGCAGAAAAACAGCTTCTTTTCAGAATGTTTGAGGCAAAGCCAACAGTGGTTCTGGTGCCTGTGAGCGGTTTAGTCCCTGAAATGTCTGTGCTGGGAATGGGAGGGTATTTTTTTCAGTTCCCATGTGGGTCTCTCTCTGTCTTCTGATTTGTGCTTGACTGAGGAGAATGGAGGGGTTTTGTAGTCCTTGAAGGTTCTAGGATTATTGGGGGAGGGGGAAAATCCCACTTGCCCTGTAGCATCATGAGGTTTTAGGGTAGAAGGAACTTGGGACCCATCTAGTTCATTCTTCTAGGATGAGGCTATTGAGTGAGGCCTAGAGACGTTCAGCCACTCATCCAAAAGACTCACACCCAACTGTGAAACAATTTATGGATGTCATTACTCCCCACAACCCACCCAACACACACAGACACACACACACAAAGAATTAAGAGGAAGATGAGACTAAGGGGCCACTTCCACATTCAGCGTCAGAATTCACTAGCATCTCTTCACAGAAGAGGCAGGCTGGTGTGGCGGTGCAGGCCTTGAAGGCAAACTGCCAGACTAACCAAGTTACTGAGCGACCTCAGTTTCCTCACCTGTAAAATGGTGGCAAGAATAATATCTACTTGGCGATGGTGTGATAATTAAATGAGAGAATGCATATACACAGCACTCAGCTCAAGGCTGTCAGGGCTTGGCCTGAGTTCTCAAACTTTAAGAATCACCTGGAGGGCTTGTTAAAACACAGATTGCCCTATGCCCTACCCCAGATTCTGATTCCAGTAGGCCAAGATCAGGCCTGATACTTGGAATTTCTAACAAGCTCCCAGGTGATGCTGAGGCTGCTGGTCTGGGAAGACACTTTGTACAGGGAGGCTCTAAGTGCTCACTTCAATTACTTGAATGTGGGTTTGGACTCTAATACTAACCCTTGGGCTGAAAAGAGGCAGAGCTTCCTGTGACAGATGGATGGGTCCTGGAGAAACTGCAATAAGCAGTAAAATGCTACATGACAGGCCTGAGAAAACAGGATGGGCAGTGTGACATCATGACCTTGGGGTGAGACAGCTTTCCTCTTTCCTCTTCCACATTCTGCCAACATTTATTGAGCACTTATTGTGGACCAGGCACTATCCCTGCTCCTTAGGGACATTGGAGGGGCTTCTGCAGTTACTGGAAGAGACAGATAAACAGATGAGAACCATGGAGCAAATAAGTACATGAAAGAGGTAAAGGCCAGAAGGAGCCCATCACTCAGCCCAGGAGTTATCAGGGAAGACTTCCTGAAGGAAGAGGTGCCTGAGCTGGGTGCTGAAGTAAGGTAGTCCTGGTAAAGAGGAAGCATGGTCTTTGGGACTCAAGTGGCTCACCTCCACTGAGTTTAGATGGCAAGGCAGGAATCAGATAAAACTAAATTCAAAGAGGTCAGCGGGGTTGGATTACGAAGGCTTTGGACGCTGAAGGATCAGGCTATGGGGAGCCACGGAAGGGTTTTAATCTGGAGGGTGTCTGTTGAAGGGGCTGCTTTGGCAGCTGTAAGGAGAGTGGACTGGAACAGGGCAAGAGTGCTACTGCAGCGTGTGGTGGTCTCGAGCTGGTGGCATGAGTGGCGTGGAGATAGAAGAGGGGCTGGTGATAGGTTGGGAGTGAAGAGGGTGGCACCAGGGCATTGGGCGTGGGCACAGGGTGGGTGGTGGGAGTCTCTGAGGGCGGCTCCAGGCAGAGGCTGGTGATGAGGAGAGCAGTCCTGAAGGTGTGGAGTTGGGGTGCTGGTGGGTTTGGGGGGCAGATGCACAGCATGCTCTGCAGGTCTAGAGCTCAAGAGAGGGGTCTGGATAGGAGTGGAGCAGGGGAGTGAATGGGAGTCTGGGTAACAGCCAGAAGAGAGGGCACCCACAACAAATTCTGGAGGATCCAAAATATTACTCAGCAGAGTTGTGTTTAATTGAACTCCTGTATGTATATGAACCCAGTGACGATACCCCAAAGTTAATTAGAGGGGCTTTTAGAGTTTTCCACCATGGCAGTGTTTTTCATAGATGATTTCTCCCTGCCAGGGTTTCTGATGGTTTGTATATATGTGTAGGCAAATAATGAAAGGCAGAGAGGCAGTTGCTTACATGACACTTGAAGCTCTCACCCAAAAACCTGTCCCCAACTATTGTTTGAAATCTCATCATCGCACAGGCCTTCCTTTTAGGCCTAACATTTTCTGTCAGAATGAAAATGTCTTTGAGAACTGACATAAATTCCATTTTCAATAGTCATTGATGTGTGAAATGGATCGTTCAATTCCTTTCAATATGACAGGCTTCATCCTGGGAGCAAGTTTTGATGGAGAAGAGTAAGAAAGATTAGTAAGAATTATTATTCTTTACAGCCCTTGACGACAGGGGTTGAGAAACTTTTTCTGTAGAGACCCAGATAGTAAATATTTTAGGCTTTCAGAGCCTGAAGGTCCCTGTCACAAGTGCTCAATTCTATCATTGTAACAAAAGCAGCCATAGATAATATGAAAGTGAATGGGTATGGCTGTGTTTCGGTAAAACTTTACTTATTCAACTCTGAGATTTGAATGTCATATAATCTCCAAGGATCATGAAGTAGTATTTGTCTTTTGCTTTTTTCCTCAACCATTTGAACATATAAGGCTGGGCGCAGTGGCTCCCACCTGTAATCCCAACACTTTGGGAGGACGATTTGAGGCCAGGAGTTTGAGACCAGCCTGGGAAACATAGCAAGACCCTGTCTCTACAAAAAAAATTTTTTGAAGTAAGCAGAATGTAGTGGCCATGCCAGCCACATGCCTGCCATCCCAGCTACTACTAGAAAGGATCCTTGAGCTCAGGAGTTCAAGCCTGCAGTGAGCTTGATGGTGCCACTGCACTCAATGCCTAGGTGACAGAGTGAGGCCCTATCTCTCAAAAAAAAAAAAAAAAAAAAAGAATGAAAGAAAGAAAAAGAATAAAAACATTCTGAGATATAGGTAATACAGAAACAGGCAGAGTTTGCCTACCCTGATTTACAGTGTCTGTGGCACCTTCATTTCCATTCCATTATCTTGTGAGATAGACACCATCATTTCCATTTTCTAGTGGAGGAAACTAAGGCCCAGGAAAGGACGAAGGGACTGGGCTGTGAAAGAGGGTGCCAGGAGGGAGAAGAGGGTAAAGGAAGGAGCAGTGAGAGGAGGTCCAGAGCCAAACTTGTCTCCTTCCGGGTGCTGGGGAGGGTGGATTTTAACAGCTCTGCCCTCACATTGGGTTTGGGGTGGCCAGGGAGACGGGTGAATGAGCAGATGACTTGCACTCATTTTGTCTTTTGTTTCTGGCCACCTCTGGGGCAAGGGGAATAAAAGCTTCATTCCTGAGTCAGTGAGAGCATCAATGAAGCCCAGCTGTCGTTCAGGCTGAAAGAGCTAGAACAACTTTCTCTGCTCCCTGCCAGCATGAAGCGGTTGTGACCCCAGGAAACCACAGTGACTTTGGCTCTGGTTCAGCTGACATGCTCGAGTCTAGCCACAAATTACCAGAAAACAGCTGAGGAAAGTTTAGAATTTCTCCTGGCAGAGACGGTCCAGGAGTCTAGCTCCAGGGTGAACTCCTTCCCAGAGCAGCGTGGGGCCCTTCAGAGGCGCAGCTCCACCAGCCCTCCCCTGCTTTCCCTGCCCTCACTTTGCACTGGGTTTTGCCTTCGAAACAGCGGGCTCCAAGCCACCTCAAGTGCTGCAGAACAGCGTCGTTGACAGCTTCAAGTCACCTTGTGGCTTGCCTCAGCTGCTGCTCTGCATTGGAAACAAAGTCCCAGGCTCTCTCTCTTTCTGTGTGTGGGAAATGCCAGAGTGAGGTTGGGGAGAGAGACAAAAGGGCTCACTGAAAAGCCAGACAGGCTTGAACTGCAAGTTACACAGGAGAGGGGGACGCTGAGGGGACCCTAGAGGGAGACGGTCACGGAGTACAGCTTTGCCTCTTTGGCTACTTCCTCACTTTGGCGGTTGCTTTTCCCTCAAGGTGGACCACCTGCTAGAACAGGGCAGCACTGCTGTTCACTGGCCAGCTTGGAGAGAAAACTGTGCCATGTGACTGTAAGTCAGGCCCTTGTGATGGAACCATCATGAGGCTGGAGTGTGGGGACTGGGGGATCCCAGAGGGCAGCATGGCACACCAGCTCTGGGAGGGGACCCCTCATATGGTGAGATTGTCATTGAACATTATTGAACACCTACTGTCTTAATCCATGCTTGCTGCTACCACAGAATATGTGAGACTGGGTTATTTATAAACAACGGAAATTTATTTCGCAAAGTTCCGGAGGCCGGGAAGTCCCAGATCAAGATACCAGCAGATTCAGTGTCTGTCTGGTGAGAGCCCAGAGTCTGCTTCCAAGATGGTGCCTTGTTGCTGTGCCCTCGTGTGGCAGAAGGGCAAGAGAGAGCAAGAAGGGACCAAATTAGCCCATATATATATATAAAATTCCTGAGGAGGACATTAATCCATTCAAGAGGGCAGAGCCCGCCTGTTAAAATAGGTAACTAAATTTCAATGTGAGTTTTGAAGGGGGCAAACATTCAGGCCATAGCACCGCCTATGTGTTAAACAGCCAGTTAGATGTTGGGGTTGTAAAAGTAAATCCTGGCATGGCCCTGGCACAGGAGGGACTCCATTTCATAGAGAGAAAACAACACAGACCCTTTTATTTTAGGGTGTTTGCTGCCAACAGCTCTGGATAGACAGGCTGAAGCAAAAACACCAAACATGGAGAAGTTATGACGGTTCCCCCAAGTAGCAAGGAAGGCACATCTCAGGCTTGGGAAGTGTCCTCAGTGGGTGCCAGGCCTGCCTCTCCCAGTGTCTTCTCAGTGAGGGGATCTCTGGCTAAGTTCTTTACCTTCTCTGAGATTTGGTTTCCAAATCTATGTAATGGAATTAAAGATATCTTCCCTGAGGGCTGTTTTGAGGATTAAATAGATAATATATGTGGAAGACTCCATGTTTTTTAAAATTAAAAATCCATTTTTACCAAAAATGGAAGCACTGAACATACTGCTGTTTCACCTACCAAAGCAACTTGCACTTTTTCTATTGCATTAAATATTTTAGTTTCTCCTTCCTTCCAGCAATTAGTTTGCAAGTCAACTTATTTATTATTCAGTAACTTTTTTTTTTTTTTTGATATTGACATTGTTCCTAATTTTGATCATTTTAAACAAAGGTGTGAAAAACAGGTCAAATCTTTTCATTCACCCATGACTGTTTCACAAAGATAGATTCTTAAAAGTACGTTTGTGGAGTCAAAAGGTATGTACATCTAAGGCTTTTAATAAGTATTTTCAAATTCCCTTTCAGAAGAGTAGTACAATTTGACACTCACCAGCAGTGAATGTGAAGCCACTTCTCCATACCTTTGCCAGCAAGGGTGGCCCCAAGAAACATACACAGTACCCCAGCTAAGGGCAGAGGTAGCTTTTATCCTGCCATGGCATACTGCTGAGAGTCAACAAGACACCAAGTCCTGCTCACAGAGGCTAAACAAGAGCTTTCATAGTTTGGCTATTGAAACCCACAATATAGGAATTCATATTCATTTTATCACATTTAACCTTGGCTGTGTGTGGTGGCTCGCTTGTAATTTCAGCACTTTGGGAGGCTGAGACAGGAGAATCACTTTAGCCCAGAAGTTCAAGTCCAGCTTAGGCAACAGAGGGAGACCCCATCTCTACAGAAAAAATTTTTTAAATCAGCCGGGCATAGTAGGGCATGCCTGTAGTCCCAGCCTCTTGGGAGACTGAGATGAAAAGATAGCTTGGGCTCAGGAGGTCGAGTCTGCAGTGAGCTGTGTTCTTGCCACTGTGCTTCAGCTTGGGTGACAGAGCAAGACCACATCTCAAAAAAAGAAAAAAAAACTTGTTTGATTCAGCTCATTTTCTCTGCTTTTTGAGATCTTCTTGGATTTTTTTTATTCTTTCACCCAATGTATTTAATATTACTCCCTCTTCCAGCTGTTTTATCTGAAAACTTGATCAACCTGTGCTTTATATTTTCATCCAATTCATTTATAAAAATGTCACATGAGAAAGAATCAAGAGCAGAGCCCTGAGACACATTGCTGTCTCCTCACTGACACTGACTGAGGCAGCTGCAAATACACCTAATTGTATTATTGCTTAGCACGAGGCTTTATCAAGAAGGATATCCTATTCTGAACTCTGTGGGCTGGTTAGAGTGTAAGGACTCATCACTGGGGCCATGGGAGACGTAAGTATCAATAGAGACAGAGGCAAAACTGGATTTAAGAAGTCACAGCAGGCCTCTCCCCTAGTGTGAGCCCTGCTTTGAACATAACTGGGAAAGGCTTCCTTTTAGTCTTCAAATTGTTTGTTTGTTTGTTTGTTTGTTTGTTTGTTTTGAAGCAGAGTCATGCTCTGTCACCTAGGTTGGAGTGCAGTGGCGTGATCTCGACTCACTGCACTCCACTCCTTCCTCGTCACAGTGCTTCTACCCTTAGAAGTGTACATTTCACCTATGTTTAACCACTGCCTATTTTTTTTCTTTAGTGATATGTTATGCTATTGAATTTTAATTATATAAGCTATATGCAAATGCAGCTTCCTTGTAAAAAAAACTAAAATATTATAGACATAACCCAGCACTTCCCCTCCCAGTTCCTCTCCACACTCCCAGAGGTAATCATGATGATCAGTTTGCTAGGTGTTCTTCCAGAACTTTTAGCCTCTTTCTTTGGCTTATAGATGGCCACCTTGTCACTGTGTCCTCCCATGGCCTACCCTCTGCATGCATCTGGATCCTAATTTCCTCTTCTTATAAAGACACCCATCCTACTGGAGTAGTCATATTGGATGACAGCCATATTGCATTAATCTCATTTTAACTTAATTACCTCTTGAAAGACCCTATCTCCAAATACAGTCACCTTCTGGGTACTGGGGGTTAGGACTTCAACATGAATTTTTGGGTGGACACAATTCTCAATTCAGGGTAGAGGGAGGAGGTTCAACTGCCAGAGAGTGGGAGGCCAAGCCCATGCCTGTCCTTCCTGGAAATGTGCCCTGGTTGCAGGTAGGGTCAGGCCCAAAGGCAAGAAACTGTCTCCAAACTGATTTGACAAGTGGCTGACTAGTTCTTTTCTTCCCCAAACCTCAAGGTGCTCCAGTCCCCAGCTCACTCGGCCACACACCATGTGTGAAGAGGAGACCACTGCACTTGTGTGTGACAATGGCTCTGGCCTGTGCAAGGCAGGCTTCGCAGGAGATGATGCCCCCCGGGCTGTCTTCCCCTCTATCGTGGGCCGCCCTCGACACCAGGTGTGTGTGCATCCAGCTGCCAGGCTTTGAGCCACTAGGAGTAAGCACTGCACTGTGGATACTCTGCTGAGCTGGGGGTTAGGGTTAGGGGAGTGTGTGTGTGTGTGTGTGTGTGTGTGTGTGTGTGTGCATGCACACCAGGTGTAGGGAGTTCTTTTCTGATTAACTGATAGAGCAGGACCCTTTAAATAGAAATATCCAGTGCCAAACCAATATCCATCAGGCACACAATGACACCATTATGCCCAGCTTTAAATTTGGGAAGTTGCTGGGTTTGGAAAAGTTAAATTGTATGCAATTGAACAAGCCTCTTACCTTCAAGAAATCTGCATTTTGTGAAGAAATAAACATAACTGACCAGAGATCATGGGCTGTAATAGAGGCAAAATATTTCACAGGAAGGGGAAGGCATTACAGAAAAAGGAATATCTGAGAATTAGAAGGATTTCAGCAGGTGGAGAGAATAACAAAGATTTGGAGATCTAAAAGTGCAGGCACAGGGGATTTGAGGAGAGTGAGTGTACAACTTGTGTGTGTATGTGTGTGTGTGTATGTGTGTATTTGCATGTGTATCTGTGTGTAGTAGGATGAGGGGAAGAAATATATGGGTGTGGCTTGTTTTATCTCAAAAAAACAACATTGTCTGAAGAGAAAGAAGGAAGGCCAACCCACAAGAAATTCTCCACCTTCTCTTCCTGTCACCTCCATATTCACTGGTATCTGCTCCATTCTGTCTCCTGCTATCTTGTTTCCAGGGGAAGAAAGGCTATGTTTTCCATCCTCATCCTTCAGAGACCTTCCAGCACCTGAATCCCTCTGTGTGGAGCCCTCAGCCAATTCATTTGTCTTCTCTTTGCATTGCAGGGTGTGATGGTGGGAATGGGCCAGAAAGACAGCTACGTGGGGGATGAGGCTCAGAGCAAGAGAGGGATCCTAACTCTCAAATACCCCATTGAACACGGCATCATCACCAACTGGGATGACATGGAGAAGGTATCTGTAGACTCCCCCTTAATAAGCCTGCTTTAATGATCACCCATCATCATGACCCTCATATCCATAGGCCACTGTGCTCTGTCAACTCTCCCCCTAAAATGCTTCTCACTTCTGTCTTTCCTTTCTTTTCAGCCCCACAACCATTTCTCCAACCTAGGCTGCCAACATCTCTCCCTGGACTACTACAATGGCTTCCTGGCTGATTTCTTGGTCTCTTGCCCTCATTCACCAAATTAATTCTCTACACTGCTGCAAAGCTGATCTTTCTAAACACAGGTCAGCTCATGTCACTCACCTCCTCAGAAATCTTCAGTAGCTCCTCATTAACCAACAGTAGGTTCCTAACTCCCTGTCTTGGCATCAGGGTACATGTCCCTGCCTAATCCCCATGATCATCTTTTCCTGCAATATTTACTCAGGCCATTGCTCACCCCTTCTTTAAAATGCTGGCACTGCCTCAAGAGAGGCAAACAGCCATCTTTCATTTTTATCTTCCCCGTCATGACTTCACATAGGTGAACTGATGCTAGATTATGATGATGAGTCTCCACTGAAAATTTTTAAGTAGAAGTCTCTCAGGGTTTCAGAAGCCTTTTTGTTTAAGAAAATATGGCGGGGAGGGGGAGAGGAATTTTTAAATGGTGGAGCTCATGATAAACAAACTATGTGTGTAAAATGCTAATAGAGCCTTGCTAATATTCTTTTGATTAATTCTGCTGAGAGTTGGCTAGGAGTTCTTATTTCTGCAACGACTGTCTTTGGAAATGTGATATAGGGCTTATTGAGCAGACTATAACTGGAAATGAGGAATGTCTATTTGAATTCCTCATTGTAATTCACTTATACTTTTCTCTAAATCCTAGATTGAGTCACTCGCTGTGAGATAAGTACTGCACATAAAATGCAATAGATTTCACATTATACAGTGGAGTGGGGAAGAGCGCAGACATTAGAAGGAATGGTGGCAAATCCAGGTGCAAATCCCACTCTATAAGTCTTAGTTTTCCCAATTGTAAAGTGAAGATAAAAATACTTTGTGCATTAGGTTGCTTTGGAGATTGAATTAGGTAAATGTTTAGTATAATCCCAAGGCACAGAACATACTTATGTGCTCAATAAGTGATACATATGATTCATATTTATCTAACAGTATCTAATCTAAAAACATAATAGGCTGGGTGCCGTGGCTTATGCCTGTAATCCCAGCACTTTGGGAGGCTGAGGTGGGTGGATCACGAGGCCAAGAGTTCGACACCAGCCTGGTCAACATGGTGAAACCCCATCTCTACTAAAAATAAAAAATTTAGCTGGGTGTGGTGGTGGACATCTCCCAGCTACTCAGGAGGCTGAGGCAGGAGAATCGCTTGACCCCAGGGGCAGAGGTTGCAGTGAGCCAAAATCACGCCACTGTACCTCTACCCTGGGTGAGACTCCATCTCAAAAACAAAACAAAACAAAAAAACTCATAATAGAGGCCAGATGCAGTTTAATCCCAACACTTTGGGAAGTCAAGGCAAGAGGATGGCTTGAGTCCAGCCTGGGCAACATGATGAGAGCCTATCTCTACAAAATAAAAGTTTAAAAATTCATTGGGCATGGTGACACATGACTGTGGTCTTAGCTATTCAAGAGGCTGAGGCAGGAGGATCACTTGAGCCCAGGTGGTGGAGGCTGCAGTGAGCTGTGTTTACACTACTGCCCTCCAGCCTCGGTGATAGTGAGACCCTGTCTTAAAAAAAAAAAAAAAAAAGGAAGGAAGGAAGGAAAACATAATAGACAAAATATTTTATTCACAGTAGTGACAATGTGTGAACTCTAAAGAAACCCTTAAAAATGTATTATGTGCCTTAAGCCTGGACACAGTGGCACATGCCTGTAATCCCAGCACTTTGGGAGGCTGAGGCAGGTGGATCACTTGAAGCCAGGAGTTCGAGACTAGCCTGGCCAATTAACATGGTGAAATCCCGTTTTTACTAAAAATACAAAAATTAGCCAGGCATGGTGGTAGGCACCTGCAGTCCTAGCTACTCCAGATGCTGAGGAAGGAGAATCACTTGAACCCACAAGGCAGAAGTTTGAGTGAGCCAAGATCGTATCACCGCACTGCAACCTGGGCAACAGAGTGAGACTCTATCAAAAATAAAAATTGTTTTTAAAAAGGCCTGGGGCAGTGGCTCATGCCTGTAATCTCAGCACTTTGGGAGGCCAAGGTGGGTGGGTCACCTGAGGTCCGGGTTTGAGACCAGCTTAGGCAAGGGAAACATGGTGAAACCCTGTCTCTACTAAAAATACAAAATTAGCCAGGTATGGTAGCACATGCCTGTAGTCCCAGCTATTTGGGAGGCTGAGGCACGAGAATCACTTGAACCCAGGAGGTAGAGGTTGCAGTGAGCAGAGATTGTGCCATTTACTCCAGCCTAGGCAACCATGAGCAAAACTCTGCCTCAAAATAAATAAATAAATAACTATATATATATATATATATACAGTGCCTTAAAAGAAAAACTGAATTAGCCGGGCGCGGTGGCTCAAGCCTGTAATCCCAGCACTTTGGGAGGCTGAGGCGGGCGGATCACGAGGTCAAGAGATCGAGACCATCCTGGTCAACACGGTGAAACCCCGTCTCTACTAAAAATACAAAACATTAGCTGGGCATGGTGGCGTGTGCCTGTAATCCCAGCTACTGAGGAGGCTGAGGCAGGAGAATTGCCTGAACCCAGGAGGCGGAGGTTGCGGTGAGCCGAGATCGTGCCATTGCACTCCAGCCTGGGTAACAAGAGCGAAACTCCGTCTCAAAAAAAAAAAAAAAAAAAAAGAAAAACTGAATTGGGTAAAAGTGTCAAATGTCCTCAAATTAATTTAAAGGCTCATTGCATTCCAATAAAAATTATGCAACATAATTATAAAGTATGTTTGCAGAAATAAATAAGCAAAAATTATGAGAACAAAATGAATTTTTAAAATTATGAAGGGAGATATAATAAAATACAGTATAAATTGTAAAGTTGAAGCAATTTGGCACCAGCAAAAAGGTGAAGGGGAAATATATAATAAATGAAACTTCCAACACCAGAGAGGAAGAAAGGACTATTCAACATTCTGCCTGCCCCGGATGCCTTTCACAGCAGCCTCTGGAGACCTTCTTTTGCCCTGGCCCATGTAAATCCCTCAGATAATGAATAACTCTACCTCTTCCTTCATTTAAAATGTGGCTTGTGTTTTTCTTTGTGTTTGTTTTGGTCTTTTTGACCATTTTCCTCCCCTCCTGGACTTTGCAACTAAGAATTGGGTACCATGTCTGATTCATATCTGCCCTCAACACACTTACCACCATCTTAGCACAAAAACTGGGGGTCCATAAACACATGGGTCCAGTGGCATCATATGACCCTGTGCCTCACCTCTGAGGAAACCAAAGCTCCACGTTCTTGCTACACTTTGCCCAATCCCTCTGAAAGACTCCTTTTAGGTCGTACTTGATCACTGAAGTGGGAACTGGACACGGGAAGAAATTAACTTCCTCTAAAACAGTGGTTCTTTTTTATTTTTATTTTTGAGACAGGGTTTCACGCTGTCACCCAGGCTGGAGTGCAGTGCCATGATCACAGCTCACTGCAGCCTTGACCTCCTGGGATCAAGCAATCCTCCTGCCTCAACCTTCTGAGTAGATGGGTTTAAAGGCAGGTGCCACCATGCCCGGCTAATTTTTTATCTTTTTGTAGAGACAGGCCCCCACTATGTTGCTCAGGCTAAGCAGTGGTTCTTAACCAGGATGATTTTGCTTCCCAAAGGACATTTGGTAATATCTGGAAACATTTTTGATGGTCACAACTGGAAAACTGCTGCTAGCATCCAGTGGGTAGAGACCAGGGATGCCAGTTGGCCCCCCACAACAAAGAATTATCCAACCTAAAATGTCATAGTGCTGCAATGAGAAACCCTGCTTAAAGCACCGGCCTGGCCAATAATAGACGGTGAAAACTGAGCCCAAGTGTCTCTGTCAGATTTTCTGCAGGAGACAGTGTACACTCAGCTGGGCTTTAGAAATTGATTGACGTGTATACTCAGCTGGGGTTTTACAACCGGTTAAATGAATGTCCTACAGAGAAGTGTGCATAGTGTTAAGGCAACTACAAAGGGATGTCAAGGCACTCAAGAACCAGCAACAGAGGATGCTCTCACACCCCTAAACATGAAGGGGCCAGGTCATGAGGGCAGTGTCATTGGAGCTTAGTGAGAGCTTGAGCTCTGGAAGAGGGGCTGCTTAACAGGAACTGTGCTCACAGAGGGCCACGCCATTGTCAGGAGATATATCCTGACTTCTTTTGCCCTCCTACTTTCCAGTCTCCAGCAGGTATCTTCTATCAGCCGAACATCGCCAGAAGGCAGAAAGCAATGAATACTTGAGTGATGCAACGTGCCTTGCATCACTCAGGGCACAAAGGCAGAGGAAAGCCTGTAGTAGAGTGAAGAAGAGGAAAGGTCAAATGGAAATAATAGCACATAGGAAATAATGGTTCCAGGTCTGAGTCCTGAGTGGGGCCCTGTTGAGAAGGAATATACCCTTTAAATGTCAATCAGAAATTTCCAGGGCTGACCATTCTCCTCTCCAGATCCACCCCACCCAGTGTAACATAGTGCACACTCTCCCAGCATGGGAATGTCAATCAGAATTTTCTAGCCATTGCGAGTCTGCCGGGTTCATCTGGCTCTCGTCTCCACTAGATCTGGCACCACTCCTTCTACAATGAGCTGCGTGTAGCACCTGAAGAGCACCCTACCCTGCTCACAGAGGCTCCTCTAAATCCCAAGGCCAACAGGGAGAAGATGACCCAGGTAAGAAGCCAGGAAGACTTAAGCACTGGCACAAGAATGCAACATGGATGCTTGGCCAGATACTTTCTCCCCTTCAAACATCAGTGCAACAGAACTCTGACGACCTGCTATGCCCATAGTCCATGCCAGGCCCTGGGGGAGGGGCATAGAATAAAGAACTACCAAACTATCATAGTTCCTCCCCTTAATGAGATTACAAACCATTCTAAAGGCCAAGAAGTGCTGTAATTTTCACCAAATAATCTTTTATTCTTCATTGTCCTTTAAGATCATGTTTGAAACCTTCAATGTCCCTGCCATGTATGTTGCCATTCAAGCTGTGCTCTCCCTGTATGCCTCCGGCCGCACGACAGGTGAGTAATCCTGTAATCCATTCCTTTCCTAACTTCAGGGGAGGTAGGGAAAAGCTAGGGTCTGGCAGAGGCTCCTGCTCAGAAGAATAAAAGGGACAGATGAAGTCCAGGCAAAATCTTGCTTAGGGATAAGAGAATGCCCATGTGGAATGCCAAATGTGACTCAACCTGGTATAGTTGGAAAAAACATCCAGTGAGAACTGTTTCCTTCACAGTAATCATTCCAGGAGCTTATACACATACAGACATTCCAACAATACTGGAATGTTTCTGCTTCATGAAGCAGAAAGAGGAGAACCTGGTGGTGAAAATGTAAGTGCAGTTACACATTGCTTAATGACAGTGATAGGTTCTGAGAAATGTGTGTCATTAGGTGACTTCATCACTGTGGGAACATCATAGATTGTATTTGCACAAACCCAGATGCTGTAGCCTTCTACATGCCCAGCCTGTATGGCATGGCCTACTGCTCCCAGGCTACAAACCTGTATAGCATTTAACTATAGTTAACACTATAGGCAACTGTAACACTATGGTTAAGTATTTGTATAGCTAAACATATTGAAACATAGAAAAGTTACAGTGAAAATATGGTATCAAAGATAAAACGTGGTATACCTGTATAGGGCACTTACCGTGAATGGAGCTTGCCAGACTAGAAGTTGCTCTAGGTGGGTCAGCAAGTGAGTAGTAAGAGAATGTGAAGGCCTAGGTCATTACTGTTCACTACTGTAGACTATAAACACTGTACATATCGGCTATACTACATTTATAAAAATATTATTCTTGGCCGGGCACGGTGGTTCAAGCCTGTAATCCTAGCACTTTGGGAGGCTGAGGCGGGTGGATCACAAGGTCAAGAGATCGAGACCATCCTGGTCAACATGGTGAAACCCCATCTCTACTAAAAATACAAAAAAATCAGCTGGGCATGGTGGTGCATGCCTGTAATCCCAGCTACTCAGGAGGCTGAGGCAGGAGAATTGCCTGAACCCAGGAGGCGGAGGTTGTGGTGAGCCGAGATCCTGCCATTGCACTCCAGCCTGGGTAACAAGAGCAAAACTGCATCTCAAAAAAAAAAAAAAAATACTATTCTTGGCCAGGGTGCCGTAGCTCACGCCTGTAATCCCAGGACTTTGGAAGGCTGAGGTGGGTAGATCACATGAGGTCAGGAGTTTGAGACCAGACTGGCCAACATGGTGAAACCCCATCTCTACTTAAAACACAAAAATTAGCTGGACGTGGTGGTGAGCACCTATAATCCCAGATACTTGGGAGGCTAAGGCAGGAGAATCGCTTGAACCCGGGAGGCGGAGGTTGCAGTGTGCCGATATCGCACCACTGCACTCCAGCCTAGGCAACAGAGTGAGACTCCATCTCAAAAAAAAAAAAAATGTATTCTTTCTTCAATAATAAATTAACTTAAGCTTACTATAACTTTTTCTACCTTATGAACTTTTTAATTTTTAAAACCTTTTTACTTTTTTTGTAATAACAGTAATACAAAACATTTTCTTTTTTCTAGCGCCTCAACCTCCCAAGTAGCTAGGACTATAGGAGCATGCCATCATGCCTGGCTAATTATTTAATTTCCTTTTTTTAGTAAAGACAGGGTTTCACCATGTTGGCCAGGCTGATCTCGAACTCCTTGCCTCAAGTGATCTGCCTGCCTTCGCCTCCCAAAGTGCTGAGATTACAGGCATGAGCCATCGCACCCAGCCAAAAATATTTTCTTTCTTTATATTCTTTATTCTACAAGCTTTTTTCTATTAAATGTATTTATTTATTTTACTTTTAGAGCTTCTTTGGTAAAAACAAAAACATAAACATTAGCGTAGGCCTACACAGGGCCAGGATCATCAATACCACTGTCTTTCATATCCACATCTTGCCCCACTGGAAGGTCTTCAGAGTTAGTAACATGCATGGTGCTGTCATCTCCTATGATAACAATGCCTCCTTCTGGAATATCTCCTGAAGGACCTGCCTAAGGCTGTTTTACAGTCAACTTTTTTGTTTTTGAGACAGAGTTTTGCTCTTGTTGCCCAGGCTAGAGTGCAATAGCACGATTTTGGCTCACCGCAACCTCCCGCTCCCAGGTTCAAGTGATTCTCCTGCCTCAGCCTCCCGAGTAGCTGGGATTACAGGCATGAGCCACCACGCCCAGACTTACAGTCAACATTTTTTTTTAATAAGTAGAAGGAGTACACTTTAAAACAATGATTTAAAACATAATATAAGAGGCTGGGCATGGTGGCTCATGCCTGTAATCCCAGAACTTTGGGAGGCCAAGGTGGGCAGATCTCTTTGAGCTCAGGAGTTCAAGACCAGCCTGGGCAACATGGCTAGACTCTGTATCTACAAAAGATGCAAAAAGCTAGCCAGGCATTCGTGGTTCATGCCTGTAGTCCCAGCTACTCAGGAGGCTGAAGCTGGAGAATTGCTTGAGCCCAAAAGGCAGAGGCTACAGTGAGCCGAGATCTCATCACTGCACTCCAGCCTGGGCGACAGAGTGAGACCCTGTCTCAAAAAAAAAAAAAAAAAAAAGGATAGTATAGGAAATACATAAGCCACTACCATAGTCATTTATTATTATTATCAAGTATTTTGTACATAATGTATATGCTGTACTTTCATACAGCTGGCAGCACAGTAGGGTTGTTTACACCAGCATCACCACAAACCCGTGAGTAAAGCGTTGTCCTGTGGCATGACATCAGCTGTGATGTCACTAGGCAATAAGACTTTTTCAGCTTCATTATATTATGGCACCACCATTGTGTATGTGGTTCATAGTTGACCAAAATGTCATTATGTGGACATGACTGTATGTGGCCTTGGTACAGAAGTGTGCTTAGGATAACAGAGGAAATCTCAAAATAAGACGGTCTTTAATAGGGACTTGACAGCTTCCATAAACATTGTTTAAACATTTGTTCATCAGATATTTACCGATTTATCCATCATATATTTTCCATTACTCCCTACAATGTGCCAAACATGGCACCAGGCCATGGGCATACACTGACAAATAAAACAGACTTTGCCATTATGGAGCTAACAGTTTAGTGGGAGGTAGACAAAAGTAAAAGATAATTTCACTGCGTGTGATAAGGACAGTGATGGAGAAATGCATGGCATATACAGTTTTGTATCCTGCACTTTGCACTTTTATTTTTGCTTTTGTTTTCATTTTGAGATGGAGTTTTGCTCTGTCGCCCAGGCTGGAGTGCAGTGGCACGATCTTGACACACCGCAACCTCCACGTCCCGGGTTAAAGCTTTTCTCCTGTGTCAGTCTCCTGAGTGGCTAGGATTACAGGCACATGCCTCTGCACCTGGCTCTTTATTTATTTATTTATTTTGAGATAGAGTCTCGCTCTGTTGCCCAGGCTGGGGTGCAGCGGCATGATCTCAGCTCACTGCACCCTCCACCTCTTGGGTTCAAGCGATTCTCCTGCCTCAGTCTCCCAAGTAGCTGGGACTACAGACACATGCCATCACGGCTAATTTTTGTATTTTTAGTAGAGGCAGGGTTTCACTGTGTTAGCCAGGATGGTCTCAAGCTCAAGACCTCGTGATTCACCCACCTCAGCCCCCAGAAATGCTGGGATTACAGGCATGAGGCACTGCGCCTAGCTAATTTTTGTATTTTTAGTAGAGATGGGGCTTTACCATGTTGGCAAGGCTGGTATTAAACTCCTGACCTCAGGTGATCCACCTGCCTTAGCCTCCTGAAGTGCTGATATTACAGATGTGAGACACTGCACCTGAACTTTCACTTTGTTTTGTTGTAAACATTATGTTTAATGGCTATGTGGTAGTCATTGTATGACGGTTTCATTATTTATTTATTTATTTATTTATTTTCCATATATCTATTGCTGGAGCTTTAGGTTGCCTCTAATTTTTATTATAAAATATGCCAGTGATTCAGATCCTTGTACAAGAGTAAGTTACTGGTTTATGGACATTTATTTTACATCTGGCCCTTACTGAACCATCTAATTAGGTCTAATGGTTTCTTAGTTGATCCTCTTGAGTCTTCTATATAAAACCTGCAAATAATGACAATTTTGTTTCCTTTTGGTAGTCATACCTCTTATTTCTATTTTCTGTTTCACTGCAATTGGTTAGAACATCCTGGACAACATTAAATAATAGTGGTGATATCGTAGTGTTTTCTCATCAGTTATGATGTGGCTGTTGGATTAAGAAATATGAGGCTGTCTCAACTGACCTTGTGTGCAAAAAAAAAAAAAAAAAAAAAGATTATTACAAAAAAAAAAAAAGAAATACGAGGTTGAACATGGTGGTTCATGCCTATAATCCCAGCAGTTTGGGAGGCCAAGGGGGGTGGATTACTTGAGCCAGTAATTTGAGACCAGCCTGGGCAACATAGTGAGACCCTGTTTCTACAAAAAACACACACAAAAAAAAAACCCAAAAAATTAACCAGGCGTGGCAGTGCATGCCTCTAGTCCCAACTACCCAGGAGACTGAGGTGGGAGGATCACCTGAATCCAGAAGGTTGAGGCTGCAGTGAGCCATGTTCATACCACTGTACTGTAGCCTGAGCAACAGAGTGACCTCGTCTCAAAAGAAGGAAGGAAGGAGGGAAGGATGGAAGGAAGGAGGGAAGGAGGGAAGGAAGGAAAGAAGGAAGGAAGGAAAAAGAAAAGAAGGAAGGGTATGCATTACCAGGAAGGGAGAGAAGGAGGGAGAAAGGAAGGAAGGGAGGGAGGAAGGAAGGAAAGAAGGAAGGAAGGAAGGAAGGAAGGAAAGAAGGAAGGAAGGAAGGAAGGAAGGGTGGAAGGGTTTCTTATGTTAGGAACTCTTACTTCCTGTCACAGTCTACTAAAAGTTTCATCAGTAGAGAATGTTACTATTTTCAAATTGACTGGCTTTCATAACCCCTTCCAGATCTAACATTCAGACTGTATGGGCTTATGTGTTAGAGACCTGAAGGATGTGAAAATTATCCAATTTCACTTTAAGAATATGCAGTGTAGATTTAATGCAAATTGACAAGTATGCAATACCAGCAATGTGTTTCAAGGAATACAAGAAAAGGACACCTTTTACTTGCCTTCCAGAGGCCTACAGTCTCATTTGGGGGAAAAAATGTGATTGATGATTCTCATGGTGAGTGGATATTCTTAACTGCTAAAGGAAAATATGGTAGTCAGAGCTCATTGGTAACAGTCCTAGAAAGAGACTGGTGAAAGACGAGAATGAGAATTTTATAAGGCTGATCCTTTCTGTCCACAGGCATCGTCCTGGATTCAGGGGATGGTGTCACCCACAATGTCCCCATCTATGAAGGCTATGCCCTGCCCCATGCCATCATGCGCCTGGACCTGGCTGGCCGTGACCTCACAGACTACCTCATGAAGATCCTCACAGAGAGAGGCTATTCCTTTGTGACCACAGGTATCCAGCCCTTTTCCTGATTCTGACTGGAGCTCAGAACCAATCTGGTTTAGGACTGGAAGTTCTCAGGACCAATGAGAAATCTGCTGCTCTGTGTCTTTAAACACTCCTAAGATACACTGAGAGGTCTTGAGCTGGGGCTGAGCCTCTGGATAAGACCAGATAGTTGGCCAGGTGTGGTGGCTCATGCCTGTAATCCCAGCACTTTGGGAGGCCAAGGCAGGCAGATCACTTGAGGTCAGGAGGTCTAGACCAGCCTGGCCAACGTGATGAAACCCTGTCTCTACTAAAAACACAAAAATTAGTCAAGCGTGGTGGTACACACCTGTGATGCCAGCACTTGGGAGGCTGAGGAAGGAGAATTGCTTGAACCCAGGAGGTGGAGGTTGCAGTGGGCCAAGATAGCACAACTGCACTTCAGCCTGGGTGACAGAGGGAGACGCTATCTCAAAAAAAAAAAAAAAAAAAAAAAAAAGCTGGGTAGCAGTGGTCACACCTGTAATCACAGCACTGTGGGAGGCCAAGGTGGGTGAATCACAAGGTCAGGAGTTTGAGACCAGCCTGGCCAGCATGGTGAAACCCTATCCCTACTAAAATACAAAAATTAGCCGAGTGTGGCAGCGGGCGCCTGTAATCTCAGCTACTCAGGAGGCTGAGGCAGGAGAATCACTTGAACCCAGGAGGGGGAGGTTGCAGTGAGCCGAGATTGCACCATTGCACTCCAGCCTGGGCAACAGAGCAAGACTCTGTCTCAAAAAAAAAAAAAAAAAAAAAAAAGAATAAAGTAGATGTGAGAAGGAGGTTTTCATGGAGGTCAAAATGGGACAACCAAACTAACAGAGCTCAGTATTCACCTGCTGTCATTGCTGCTCCTTCCAGCTGAGAGAGAAATTGTGCGAGACATCAAGGAGAAGCTGTGCTATGTGGCTCTGGATTTTGAGAATGAGATGGCCACAGCAGCTTCTTCTTCCTCCCTGGAGAAGAGCTATGAGCTGCCAGATGGGCAGGTTATCACCATTGGCAATGAGCGCTTCCGCTGCCCTGAGACCCTCTTTCAGCCTTCCTTCATTGGTGAGATGCTACCCACAGTCCCTGCCAATCGCTCAGGAGGGGAGGGTGGAGGGCTGAGTGAGATATGGAGAGAGAAACACCAGGAGTCATGGACACTTTGTTAATGATATAATCATACCTCACATTTTCCTAGGAAGGGCCAAAAACATATTTTCTTAAAATAGAGAAAGTCTCATTTTAAATAAAAGGAAAAGGAAATCAAGATACAGGAAAAGCAGAACAAGAAATATAACATGAAACTAAGAATGAGGTTAAAACACAGAAAGTTTGTAGGCAGCAATGTAGCAAGGTCAGGTTGTAGTTTAACAAGATTACTCTATTCACAGTGTGGAATCATATTGCGTGGATAAAAGACTCAAGGCAGTTGGGCACAGTGGTATCATGCCTGTAATCCCAGAACTTTGGGAGCCGGAGGCAGGCATGTTACTTGAGCTGAGGAGTTCAAGGCCAGCCTGGGCAACATGGTAAAACACCATCTCTATGAAAAATAAAAAATTTAGCAGGGCATGGTGGTGTATGCCTGTGGTCCCAGCTACTCAGGAGGCTGAGGTAGGAGAATCACTTGAGCCCCAAAGATCAAGGCTGCGGTGAGCCATGATTGAGTCACTGCACTCCAGCCTGGGCAACAGAGTGAGATCCTGCCTCAAAAAATAAAAAAAGACTAAAGGCAAGGAGACCAGGAAGATGGTAATCAGAACAAGGGACAATAAAGGAAAGGCCATGACCAGGTAGGGGGTCTAATCTTACAATCCTTTTGGGAAGTACTAAGGTTCTGAACTAGGGTAGTTGCAAAATCAAAGAAGGACCAATTGAAGAGCGAATGGTGTGCATATTTATGAAGTGATGCCTGTTGACTAGATATTGTAATCTCCACTAGGCATGGAGTCAGCTGGAATTCATGAGACAACCTACAATTCCATCATGAAGTGTGACATTGACATCCGTAAGGACTTATATGCCAACAATGTCCTCTCTGGGGGCACCACCATGTACCCCGGCATTGCTGACAGGATGCAAAAGGAGATCACAGCCCTGGCCCCCAGTACCATGAAGATCAAGGTGGGTCTTGCCTCAGTTCCCTTCATCATGTTCTCTGTATAAAATCTTGCCTATCTGGGAGTTCCTCAGAGGCAGGCTGCCAGGCCCAGTAACTTGCTGGTCTCCTGGGTTCAGTATCATCCTGGACTGGAGCCAATTTCATCCTAGGAGATTATGTTCTTTCGGCATTGATGGGCTGAAGACCCTTTTAGCATGAATCTCAAACATAATTACAGGAATGTCACACAAGAAGAGGCTCAAAGAATTTGGGATGATGAGAATATTATCTAGGTGTAATGTCTCGCACCTGTAATCCCAGCATTTTGGAAAGCCAAGGTGGGAGGATCATTTGAGTCCAGGAGTTCAAGGCCTGCAATGAGCTCTAACTGTTCCACTGCACTCCAGCCTGTCTCTAAATATAAATTCAGATAGATCCTGTCTCTAAAAATAAATAAATAAAGAGAACATTGAGAGGGTTAAGAAGGAAATCAGGAGACAGGAAATGGAAAGAAAAGAAGGAGGTCACCTTATGGTATCTTTAAACTTTATTGCTCCAGGGGAGGGTGAAAGTTCCAAAGAGTGGATGTTTGCTCATAGGGTCAGCTCTGCTTCAAACTCAGCAGGGACAGTCCTTGATTCCTGGACATCTCTGATCTACTGTCCCATCTTGGCCATGGCCTTCCTCATACTGCCTCCCAACAGGGCCTCTTGCCTCCTGGGCATCTGTGGGATGGGAGCTTCTCCCCTGCTTCTGGTCTCCAAGCAGTCACACAGACATTTTTAGCTCATTCTACAAACTTTGCTGCTAACAGTTTTAGAGAAAGAGTTGGGAATAGAAATAACACATTGGTTGAAAGTTACAAAGTCTCACAATAAAGCTGGTCTCTTGGGAGTAGGCCTGGTGTGAAGAAATGTATTCTCAGTCAATATTCTAAGAACCTCCATGAAGGAAGGCTGCCCCGGGCCTCCCCCTGCCTAACAGATGGTGTTCATCACAGAGAAATGGAACAGACCAGCAGGAAACTGGTGAGAACTTGTGGGTTCTTCTCACACAGAGCCAAAGGAGTGGTGCATTACTGAGGCCTGTCCTATGGAGAGCATCGTGCCAGGCCTGGGGCAGGGGCTTTTTACCAGGACTGTGTCAGGATACCATGCCTAGCCTTACCCTCAGATTCTGGTCCAACTAAGTCTGAGTTGCCCCTGTTACCTACACTGATAAGCAACCACCAGTGATCTGATCCATTTCCTAATTCATGGGCCATTGCTCTGACTTTAACAGTATGTGCCAGCCTTCATGGGGTTTAGGATCTAATTAGTAAACATGATCAATACCAGGACAACCTAAATAAAAGTGGAAGAGAAAGGACACTCCAAGCAGAGGAAGTAGAAGGAGCAAAGGTGTCCAAGCAGGTGTGTGCTTATATGAGCACCTATCCAAATTGGACAGCAGGATTTGTATAGGGGAACTGGGGGAGATGAGGCAAGTCTCAGGGACATGGAAGAAGAGATTTGGGAGTGGGCATGGGGCTCATATTTAGAACCACCAGCCTACGAGCAGCCAGAGTTTTCTCATGAGAAGTGTCCAACAATAAAATTTGTTACCTTCTTAGGGGCTGTGCATTCCCAATCCTTGAAATAATCTGTTTGAGGAGATTAGGTGACTTTTTTTTTTTTTTTTTTTTTTGAGACGGGGTTTCGCTCTTGTTACCCAGGCTGTGGGTGCAATGGCGCGATCTTGGCTCACCGCAACTTCTGCCTCCTGGGTTCAGGCAATTCTCCTGCCTCAGCCTCCCGAGTAGCTGGGATTACAGGCACGTGCCACCACGTCCAGCTAATGTTTTGTATTTTTAGTAGAGACGGGGTTTCACCATGTTGACCAGGATGGTCTCAATCTCTTGACCTCGTGATCCACCCGCCTCAGCCTCCCAAAGTGCTGGGATTACAGGCGTGAGCCACTGTGCCCAGCCTTAGGTGACTTTTGTCTGCCTAGATAATAAAATAACTTCTAAGATCCTTCTTAATCTACAATTCCATGATCTCTGCAATTTGAGGAATACGTAAAGAGATTCTAAGGAGACAGAAAAAAAAACAATTTATTATCTGGTTTGCTCTAGCACTGAATTCTTATACCCTTCAAAAACTGGAAAAGTAGTTGAAGAATCATAGTCCTTCTGGGTCCCCTTTTAGGTGAAGTTCAAAGTTGTTTGACATGACGACCAATTTCTAAAAGCTAAGCCCAGGATTCCTAGTGGAAAGCACAAACAATGTAGATACAAATTTGAGAACTTCTGAGATATAATTGGCTAATGACCAATAGCTCAAAACAGGGTTTGGGTAGACTGGTTTATACTCAGGAATGGAGGAAGCCAAGCCCAACTTGTCCGTGCATCCAAACTCCAGGCAAGAGCATAACAAGTTTCCTCTTATAGATATTTGTATCAATCAGCTATTGCTGAGTAACAAACAACTATGGAATATCAGGGGCACATAACAGGGAGCATTTATTGCTCATGGATCTGTGGGTTAGCTGGGACTTAGCTGATCAAGGTCAGGCTTCACTAAATAAGTGGCTCTGCATTAAGTAGCAGAGCATTATATAGTAGCATTTACATTATATTAAGTGCAGGTCCAGCCAGCTCAGGTCAAGACCATATTTCTCATTAATGGGCCCAGGCTGAAGGGCTAGCTGCTCCCCAGGGGCAGCTGTTCTCATGAAGATGGCAGAGCAAGAGAACATGCCCAGGCCGGGCGCAGTGGCTCACACCTGTAATCCCAGCACTTTGGGAGGCCGAGGCGGGTGGATCGCGAGGTCAGAAGTTCAAGACCAGCCTGACCAACATGGTGAAACCTTGTCTCTGTAAAAACAACAACAAAAACCTTTAAAAAAAAAAAGAGAGAGAGAACATGTCCAAGTTCACAAGCATATTTCAAACCCCTGTTTGTGTTATGTCTGCTAATATCCCATTGGCCAAAGCAAACATAATGCCCAGTCCAGAGTCACAGGGAGCAGTGCCCGCTTCCCATGGAGGGAATAAAGGAAGGGTGAGGAAGTGAAGGTTTTGAGCAATAATTTAATCTATCACAATGTTTCTCCTGTTCTTTTCTGACCATGGGGCTGCCCTTTTCTGGGATGAGTAGATTTTTGGATCACCTTGCTTATTCCCTTGGGGACTGATCATGATTCACCACATTTGTTCTTTGCAGATCATTGCTCCCCCAGAGCGGAAGTACTCAGTCTGGATCGGGGGTTCTATCCTGGCCTCTCTCTCCACCTTCCAGCAGATGTGGATCAGCAAGCCCGAGTATGATGAGGCAGGGCCCTCCATTGTCCACAGGAAGTGCTTCTAAAGTCAGAACAGGTTCATCAAGGATCCCCTTGAAACTATTCTGTTACCAGTCATGAAACATTAAAACCTACAAGCCTTACTTCTCTGTGTGGGGCTCTTTCTTCCAGGGCTATGTCTCATACACAGTGCTAAGGATTTTTCACATATTACTTCTTTTAAAAAAAAAAAAAAACAAACAACAGATGGGGTTTCGCCATGATGGCCAGGCTGGTCTTGAACTCCTGACCTCAGGTGATCCACCCACCTCGGCCTCCCAAAGTGCTAGGATTACAGGTGTGAGCCACTGAGCCCGGCCTCACATATTACTTCTAATCCATGCAATAATGCTGTAAGGTAGGTGCTATTATTATCCCCATATTGCAGATGAGGAAATTGAGGCTCAGAGAAGTCAAGGACTTGCAAAGATCACACAGATTCAAGATTAAAATTCAAGTATCTGACTGAAAAGCTAGTGCTCCTACTGTGTCATCTTGTCTTCTTTTCCTTGAATGTAGGTAAGAATGAGGTTAGATGACTCTTGGGATTGGGGGAGAACAGGCTTTCAGTGATGTAAGTCCTTCTGCTCAAGGGCAGTTCACTACGGAACATGAACACAGAGTCATCACACAGGTTTATGGGACGTGACACGAGTAGTTCACACACAATGGTTACTGTCACTCACGTGAAGGATGGTCACCATAAGCTTAAGATCTCTATGAGGTCGTCATTGAGGATTAGACTGTATTTATTTATTTATTTATTTTTTGAAACAGTCTCACTCTGTTGCTCAGGCTGGGGTGCAGTAGCATGATCTTGGCTCACTGCAACCTCTGTCTCCCAGGTTCAAGCGATTCTCCTGCCCCAGCCTCCTGAGTAGCTGGAATTAGAGGCGTGCTGTCACATGCAGCTAATTTTTGTATTTTTAGTAGAGACGGGGTTTTACCATGTTGGCCAGGGTGTTCTCAGTCTCTTGACCTCGTGATCCACTGGCCTTGGCCTCCCAAAGTGTTGGGATTACAGGTGTGAGCCACCCAGGCCCGGCCTGGAAGAGCAGTTTTCATAAGCCCTTAGGGGATTTCTGTGTGAGGATGGGTTTCCCAGAGCAGACCCTGAAATGAGGATTCCCTGCAAATGACTTACTAAGGAAGTGCTGTGAGGAGAGCTGGTAAGCAAAGTTGGGGGTGCAGAAAAGGAAAGGGGAGGAAACCTGGCAAGGGGGCAATTGCAGGTAAAGTCCTGGAGAGGGCAGCTTCAGCCTGGCCCGGCCCACCAGGAGCTCTGGAGTCTAAGGCGAGCTGGTGGAGGCAAGGGAACCAGGTGTTTACAGTCCCACCTGCCAGTAATTGGGGAGGGCACTCCTTGGGGGGACTGAAGTCCTAGGCTCTCCACAGTAGATGCTGGGCAAAGGTCTCCTCCAAAGAAGAGCTGCAGGCTATGGCTGTTGGAAGAGAAAGCACAGGAGGAGGCAGGAGAGATCTGAGATGTAGGACGCTGACACTGGGCTGTGGAGAGACATCCGGACCTCCACATGCGAAAGGGCAGGCTGCCCAGGTCACTCCCACCAAGTCCCCGCCCCTCACCCATCTGACCTTCCTTTCCCCTCCTTACACCCCTACTCCAGTCTTACTCCACTTCAAGTTTAAAAAATACTGTGGATGTGGAGTTATCCACTGATAGAGAGAGGGACAGTGGCTTGAGGAAAGTGGAAATCCAACTGGAAGTCTATTAAAGATCAACAGAAGTCAGGTGTGGTGGCTCACGCCAGTAATCCCAGCTGCTTGGGAGGCTGGGCTGGGAGGATCGTTTGAGCCCAATTCAAACCAGCCTCTGACAAGCGAGACCTCATCAGAGAGAGAGAGAGAGGGAGAGCGAGAGAGAGCGAGAGAGAGAGAGAGAGAGAGAGAGAGAGAGAGAAACAATGACCTGGGCACTGAGGGCCCATGAAGACAGCCATTACTTATTATGTGCTATATAATGTCTATTGGGTGGTAACTATGTGGCAGGTGCTGCAAGTGGAATCTCTCTCTGAATCCTCACCCCCAGGTCACTGGAATCCAGAGCCCACACTCTTAACCACCCTTTTGACATGTCTCCCTTTATGATTAGGTGTATCAATACAGTTCATTCAGGGGAGCAGAGCCACTATGGGTATTATGGTAATAAGGCTTTCTTACAGGAATGAGACTTTACCCAAAGCCTGAAGGAGCTGAGGAAGTGAAAGTCAGCAAGACACTGTGGGATGATCCAAGAGGAAAGTTACAAATGGGTGGAGGACTAGGTGAAACCTATCTGCTGGGCACTTCTGTCTGTCACAGCATCTGACTAGAAGATTTCCACAGAGGAGTGGCTGACACTTCCACTCTGCCTTCCAAATCTCACCCCAGGTCCTCTTTTGGCCAGCTCTAACTCAGAGCCTTGTTGGCAGGGCATTCTGGAAGTGTGCTTACCAGTTAAACCAAACTGCTTTAGCAATCCAGCACATTAGAAAATTTTCAGTGTAGGTGAGATATAGATGACTAAAAGTCCAAGCTGCAGAAGAGTTTGGGCCACATTTTTATATGTGTATCTCCCTTTTTTAATGGCTGCATGACATTTTAGATAATACTGGTCAGCATTTTGTGTATATAGTAGCATTTACAAACACTAGAGAAACAGTAAATCCTTCAGAGCTGCAATTCAAGGACTAAGCAGAGTGTTTGGCATGCAGTAGATGCTGAGCAAACATCGAATGAATGAATGGATGTTGAATGACTAGAGTTCCTGCAGGGCAACATCAGCTCTTACTCATCAACTCCAGCAGATATTTGAAAACCACCCAGGGGCAGGAAGTGGCCTAGTTCTCCCAGGTAAGGGGGAGGTAATTCTACTCACCAATGTGCCACTACTTTCGGTCTTCCAGCTAGCACCCGAGTGGGATGAAAACTCCCTGTTTATTGCTTCCCAGAGGAACTGATCACCACCTCTTTGAGGTGTCTTCTTTGTTCATGATGATCTCCTTAATTGTACTTCCTCATGCATAAAGGTGGGACCCCAACCCTCTTCCTTGGCCACAACTGATTAACTGAACACAGCTGGGCCAGTAACATTCTCCCTTCTGGGAATTTGGAATTGGGACCAAAAACATATGACATTTAACAAAACAAACATAAATAAGTAAAGGGGGATAGAAAGATTATTACTAGCCGGGCGCGGTGGCTCAAGCCTGTAATCCCAGCACTTTGGGAGGCCGAGGCGGGTGGATCACAAGGTCGAGAGATCGAGACCATCCTGGTCAACATGGTGAAACCCCGTCTCTACTAAAAATACAAAAAATTAGCTGGGCATGGTGGCGCGTGCCTGTAATCCCAGCTACTCAGGAGGCTGAGGCAGGAGAATTGCCTGAACCCAGGAGGCGGAGGTTGCGGTGAGCCGAGATCGCGCCATTGCACTCCAGCCTGGTTAACAAGAGCAAAACTCCGTCTCAAAAAAAAAAAAAAAAAAAAAAAAAAAAAGAAAGATTATTACTAATGTTATAAAGATAACTGACAGGCAATTTAGGTAAAAGATACTGAAATGACCAATAAACATATGAAAAGATGTTTGACTTCATTAATCAGCAGAAAAATGCAAATTAAAACCACAGTAAGTTATAATTATACACAGCAAAATGGATAAAATGAAAAAAAGCTGACAATATCAACTGTTGGTAAGAATGAGGGACAACCGGGAGGGGGAGGAGAAAAAAATTTTTTTTTAAATTTATATATATATATATATATATATAAAACTCAATCAAGATAGTTGCAGGTAGGTGAAAAAAAAAGAAAGAATGAGGGACAACCAGAACTCTCTCTCACTGAATATGGCGGTGTCAACTAGAACAATCAAACACTGTGGAACTATCAATTATTTGGGAATATCTATCAAAGCTGAGCATATACATGTAATTTATCACACAGCAATTCCACTCTTAGGTATACACCCAAGAGAAATGCATACTTTTATTTACCAAAACACATATACAAGAATATTTATCGTAACACTATTCATTATGGCTCAAATCTAGAAACTTCCAAGTACATGGCGGTATAGTGGCATATAGCAACAAGAATGAGTGAACAACTAATTTGTTCAACCTGGATGAATCTCACAGATATGTTAAATAAAAGAAGTATTTACTATATAATTCCATTTATGTAAAGAAAAGGCAAAGCTAATCTCTACTGTTGAAGTCAGGCTAATGTTACCTTTGGGGGATAGTAACCGGCAAGGAACATGGGGGATTCTGGAGATGAGGATAATGCTATTTCTTTATCCGAATCCAGGTAGCATGAGACTGTTCCCTTTGTGAAAATTTCATTGAACTGTACATACAATACATCCTCATTTCCTCAGTACATAGTATGCGTCACCATAAAATTAAAAAAAAATAATTTCCAAGAGCTTTGTTACTGGTGAAGGGTATCCAGGTTCTTGACATTTTGAACAAATAAAGCAAGGAAAGAATGAAGCAGATGCATTGTAAACCAAAGAACACTCCACAGGATAGGAAGGGCCTAAGCAACCAGCGATTACAGAATTTTCTGGGGTTTAAATACCCTCTAGAGGTTTCCCATTGGTTAACACTACGTAAATGAAGTAGTGGTCAGCGATCAGTCTGATTGGTTGCTGGAGGGGACTTTCAACTTTTCATCTGCCACCCAAAGTGGGGGTTGCAAAGGGATTCCTTTTGTTACTTGAGCTGGAAATTTGGGGTTTTCCCTTTGATTTAGTTCTAGGAAGTTAGCCTGAATTAGCCTTAGGTTCCCTGTCTCCAGACCCTATTCTCCTGCCTGTAACTTTTAGGAAATTAATGCCCGCCTGCAGACAACTTTCTCATCTAACTTTCACAACGACCCTGAGGCAGCAAGACTGTGGCAATGCTGAGAGCCTTTCAAGCTTTTTTGAATGGATATTTTCCAAGTCTGAGTGTACCTAGGTTAAGAAATTTAAGCAGTATATATATATATACACACACATATATTTTACAGAAGTGGCTGCTGGAGTGGGGATTTGAATGGGTAGGACTTTAGCCGCTCCAGCAGCCATTAACGCCCCACCCTGGTTATCCTAAAACGATTC